GCTCTGTCCACTTCATTTAAAGTTTTAGCAGGTGGGAATACCAGAGTGTTTCAAACAAATGGAGTGTAACTGTTTTACAAAACATATTTAATTGAATTCCATTTTCTGGAATACCTTTTTTCTTCTCTGTACTCATGGTGATGTATTCAATTGAAGTCAACCTGAACCTTTTTTTGCCTTAGTTAGTGTCCCTGGTCATATTAAGTACACTTTGTCATATTACATTTAAAAAATGAATTTAAAGTATACATTTCCTGTTTCTTTATAATCTTCCATCAAGATGTGATTGCTTTCACCTCTAAAACATGTTTTCATCACTTTACTGTACACTGGGGGAGGTGAGAGGTGTGTTTTTTCTCCATCATTGAGAGAAAACGCTCAGCCAGCTCAGAAACCCTCCCTGAATCTGTGTTTCACTTGGAAACACATCATGTTATGGAAAGAAACCTGATTTCTGATTTAGGTTGACAGCATCTACATGAGGGATCCCACAGCTTCTGTAATTCAGAGTAGGCAAGACTGAAACGTTATAAGATGCTTCATTTTATTTCCGAAGACATGTTGGTGTACAGATACCAATATATTGAATATAGTGAATGTGAATGCTGGTCACTAATACAGGCTGTGAACTTCGAGTATAATGCTAAACATTTAGCATTTCGTACATGCAGGTGTTTATAATTATATTTCACAAATTACCGTTTATTGTATTTTCAGAGGAAATCCTACCCATTCATATTTTCTATATGACTGCCTGGCTTGAGAACGTGTTGTCAGAAGCTTGGCAAATTAGGCATGTAAAAATCTTACAGTGGACTCAGACCGCTGGGAAAATACAAATAAACATGAAGCATGACTAATGGGACACATTTTTCCATCAGTCTACAAACTTTCATACAAATTGTCATATTCAAATAGTGACTTTATGTTTTTAGCTTTTGCAAATGTATTCAAAATGTACTGTCATTTATTAAGCATGAAATAAAGGAGGCACTTTTTTCATGTGCATGTGGCAGCGTCTTCTCAGGCAGGCCTCTACTTGCTTTGCACACCTCGATTTGTGTATTTTTCCCTATTCTCCCTTACAGACCTTCTCAAGCTCTGTCTTTCACAATATTAACAGCAATCTTCAAGTGCCATCACAGACTTTTATTGTGAGTCCAGGATTTGGCTGGGCACTCAAAGACATTCAGAGATTTGTTCCAAAGCCACTCCAGCTTTGTCTTGGCTATCTGCCTCTCTCTAGTTGGCTTTGTTCATCGTTCCCTCAATCCTGACCAGTCTCACAATCCCTGCTGAGAAACATCCCCATGGTAAATTACTACTATCATGCTTCACTGTAGGGAGTTCAGAGAGTGTTTAGTGTCTTCAGAATTTGAGTGTCCTTTACCACTGGGGAGACTGTCATATGCGCTTTATGCAGAAGAATCTTCTGTGTAGCCACATTATCAGAAACATGAAAGTTATGATAGACTGAGTGCTTCAGACATGGTTGTTTTTTTGGCAGGTCCTCCCATTTCTACCTCATATGTCTGAAGGTCTCTTAGAATGGCTGTGGGCCTTAGTTACTTTCTTAAGCAACGCCTTTCTTGCCCAAATACTTTCACACTGATTTAGTCCATGGTGCTCCTGGGAACCTCAAAAGCTTGAGAAATTTTACACCATTCCCTAGATGTATACCTGGAGCTGCCCCATACGTCTAAAGGGCTTTTATAATGGCTCTGGGGCTCTTAGTTACTTTCTTGGGCATTTCTTGCCCAAATACTGAGTTTGGTCAGATGGTCAGCACCAGGAACACTGTTCTAAACTTCTTCTATTTCATGCTGATTGAGTCCACTGTGCTCCTGGGAATCTTCAATTTTACACCCTTCAACAGATGTAAACCTGGGGAGGCAACCAGAGAATTTTAATGCCACTTTGGCTGTACTTTTTTCTGTACAGTATCCTATAAACAGCAGGAATAAACAAGCCCAGTCCCATTGTGCTATAGCCCTGTGCAGTATGTTGTCGTTCCAGCTCAAACACACAGGACTCGTCTGCTTTTTATCAAGCTTTATAACAGTTGAGGTTCTATCTTTGTGTGTTATTGTGCTTGCCTTAAATATAACTTGGTACAGAGATTTGGAAAAGTATTTCATTTTTGCTGCCTTACCAACTGGGCCAACCAGGAATTGTGAATGCTAACGATATTACAGTATAATGCGCAAACTGACCATTTTGCTATTTGAAACTTGGTGGCTTCTCTGATCAATCCTCTTCCTTACATACAGTTTGAATGGAGAGATTTCACACAGGGCCTTGAAGATGCCATATACCTACCCCTTCATAATCATGATTGTCAGAGGCCTTTAAATAATTTCAGTGCTACAGATCATTCATTCACTTCATACTACTTCCAAATCCGTTGCTTTCTATAGTAAAGCACACAGGAAAGGAGGCCTAACGGAATGTATTCAGAACCAACAAAAAAACAACAGGTATACTTTGCAGCCAGTTTAACTGGCAAGTATAAATCTAGTGCTGCCCCAGACACAAAGCTTTGTTTTTATCATGAATATACATTCATCAGCAAAAGTCATCTTGCACACTTGTAGTGTGTAAGAATCTGAAAAATGTGCATCAGTTAAATTTAAGCATTTGTCTTCCAACCGAAGATCATTAAGTGTGTCGGTTGTACATTGCCTGCAGTGCCTCAGCCATGAGCGTAGGACATATTCCTGTCTGAATTGCCTACGTGGCAGGAATTTCAAAAAGAGGGGGAGGGCTCAAATGATTGATCCAGTTACCGTTGCTAAGATACCGCCTGTGGTATGCGCTCTGGCATTTTTTTTCTGTTCTCATACCTGTTTAAATACCCAGATTACTCATGCGCAGCACTTCTCCTGTAGCACAAAATCCAGATTTGGTGAGCGGTAGTATTTTTACAGTCAACATCAACCATATATCTTAACCAATCTGTCTGTCTGTCATAAGATTGACATCCACTCATGTTAGGTATTTTCAATTTAGAATGAGCTTAGACAAAAATTGAATTACAAGCCCTTTGAAATTTAGAGATTAGACTAAGCCAAAGTAGTGCGAAATACTAGTCCTCTTTCAGACAAATGTTTTAATTGACAAGGCTTAAATCTCAGGATTTTAAAACCCTTAAATGCCAATGCAAAATACAGTGAACTTGTTGGGCTTGTTGGGTTATATGAAAAAAATATAACATAATACTTTAAGATATGCACAGATACACAATATGCATTAGAGATTTTTGTATGGCCGATTAAATTTCTTTATCACTAATTTGGCCAATGGACCTTCATTTATTAATTAGTTTCTTTGACTTTAATTTATTTTTTATTTAAGCTTGAAGCTTGAAGCTGAAGCTTGCATTGTGTGGGCTGAATGAACGCATAAAACACACTGGCACATTTCCAGTACTTTCTGTTAGCCAAAGGCATTTAAAATGTATAAATGAATTTTAAATTTGAAGTAAAACGAATCGATTAAAGTGCTACATCGCACATAAGAGGTAACTGGCACAATGAGTCATATATAATTATACAACAATATTCTGGTACAGGTGTAGCAGTAGAATCAAATACAGCACCAGTGCACATACTACCTGCCTCACCTTATTTAGACCATAAAACTGCTAAACAGATCAGACAAAAAAAATAAGTTGGGTGACCGACGATTGCATATTTAGCGCAGAAATTTGCTGATTTCTGATTGTACGTCCCTAATCACAATTTTATTTTTCTGAGTGTCTGTTGAAACAGATGTTATGCCTAGCCTACTTATGCTCTCTCTGTAGTGAAACATGCAGTTGGTCAGTGTTCATAATGTGACATAATTTATGGTGATAACAATAAATATCATCATACTGCCTACCCATGCAGTGAACATGTAGGCTACCCCCTGTACTCACCAGAATTAAACACTGTTGCCTAGTGAAACACATGCAAAGCAAGGTACCACAAAACTTCTCTTACTACAGCAAAGACAGGTTTTTTTAAGTGTACATCAGCGAAGGAAAGTCATGAACATGAATGCTGGAAGCTGCAGCTCTGCAGTATGTTAATATCTCTTTAATCTCAGAAAGTCAACCAGCAAGTTTTTGGTGGCTGGGACTGAGCCCTAAACCGCTGAGCCACTGCTCCTCTAATGTTGTTTTTCCTGTTCTCCAATAGGCCTCATTCCACTGAATGGTCGTGAAACCACCCTTTGAGCTTAAGTAGCATTTTTCAGGGGTTTTTTTGTCAGTCATCCAGGTCACAAATTGTCTAGGTGTAGTTAAAGAGGAATTCCACCAAGTTTTCAAAAAATTCTTCATGATCAACTAGTTGAGATGTAAACAAAATCATTCAAAGTGGTTTGATGTGAAATGCTACATTGTAGGGAAGCCTACAAAAATTGTTCACAGTGGTGGTGATAGGAACCAGACAACAATTTAATGGCAGCTACCTCACTTAAAATAATTACAGTTGGTTACAAAATGGTTATAAGGTGTTTTCAGGGTGTCTAGGTTGATCTCTTACTGCTTGACACATGTAAGTTGCTTTGGAGGTTACTTGAAATTGCACACTATATGCATGTTTATTAACAATACTAACAATAACAACAATAATAATACGTATCATTATTATTATTATTATTATTATTATTATTATTATAAGTAGTAGTATTTGTAAGATCTTGTAGTTGCAGCTGCCTCAGTTTCCTCCTAAGCTTATTGGGTTTATTTGAGCTCTACATAGGCCTACATCTAATGGCGAGTGTGGCATGAAAAGCTGGCCTAAAAAAGCCAACCATTCTTGTTTTTCACCAACTGTTACTCTCGTCAACCTCACTACAGGTTTTAAAGGCAGAGACAGTGGATATAAACGAGTGCCAAAATGGACGCTCTGCTTCTTCTACCCAGAATGCTAGAGCTGGAGGAAGTTGTGCGTGATTACGCCAGAGCCGGTTTATAAGTTGTGTGATTACGCCAGAGCGCAGGGGCAGCCCACCTCTCCGCGCGCAGAGCTCAGCGGAGAGACGAGCACAGACAGCCGAGAGACGAGGCAGCGGCGGCGGTGACGGGCGGACACAGCAGCGCGGAGACCAGGCTTTCTGAAAAAATCCGAAGAATTCGTCGGAAAAGCACCATGTCCTCGCCTTCAGACGAAAAGGCCGAGCTCCCCTCTCGGATCTTGGTAAGATTTTCTTGCGGACAGAGCCGTAAGACCGCGAACAGGCGCGTTTAGTAGGAGCTTCCAATATGGAGGAAAATGGAGAAGGTTCGAAGGGGTGTTGTGAAAATGGCCATGATGGGGCCAGCGCCAAGAGCTGAAGACGAGTTTCACTCGATAAAACTGAACCATTTCGACACGATTATGGCGTGAGGTTTTACAGAAAGTGTGGTTTTAGAGTTTAGGAAAGGGTGAGCCTTGCAGAATAGTTGAACGGCGAAAGGAAAGCAGGGTTTTTACCGACTACGCATTTTAAATTGTGCTTTGTCCTTGAGAGGACAAACGTCCTTGCCAGAACTGAATACGGAAAAAATGAGAGAAAATCTAAAAATCGACGTTAAAAATACAAACTGATGTGCGCCATCTTCAGTGTAAACGTTTGGAGTGATATTATGTTGCTTTAAGTTTATTTTGAGAAGAAAGTATTTATTTTTTATTTATTTTTCATGTGTTTATTGGTGTGAAATTGCTTGTTTTTCCTTTAAATGTCGTTTGTTTTTTGACGAAATGTGTAGAACTCTGTCAGTCTGTAAATTCGTTGTATGATTTAGAACCAGATTGTAATTTTTGTTTTTATTTGTTCATATACTTCATTGTTATTTGCATAAAATTGAAGATATATAATGTATTTATACTTTTTGATGTTTTCTTTTTCAATTGAGAATGTACGAAGTGTGTGACTACTTACATTTGTTTTGCTTTTAACGTTTATGCAGTATTTTTCGATGTTAAATAATAGGGTGTTGGCTTTTAACCCTTTGTGGTGCAGAAAAGTACCATTATTCTTTTATTATTTCAGAAATATATTTTTGACTTTCTTTTTCTTTGTTTTGATACTGATTGTGTGTGAAATACATTTTCACTCGGTTTTGTAGAGTCAAGATTGTTAAGAGACATAAAAATAATTAAAATAAAAGGAAATGTTAATATACATGTATTTCACTGTCAAGTTCAAGTAAAGATTTTCTTCCAGTGTCCACATCAGGAAACAGCATGCAAAACATTTGAATAGTCTACATATACATAGAGAGATGTATTGATATGTTGCTTATTCGTGTATTTAAATTTCTAAATCCTGGGAATAGCATTCTCAAGAGATTTGTGCCTAAAGATAGTACATGGAAACTATAGCCTGTTCTTGATTGTGTAAACAATATCACTATATAAACACATGGAAATATAAATAGGAAAAAATAAAACAATTTTTTTTATGTATTTTATAACATGTTGACCCTCAGATAGTGTTGAAAGGTATCGTTTATTTTTCTTGCACAGATTAATTTTAGATTAACTAAAAACTTGAACACACTTTCTTAACATTCTCAACCCGTATGTTTAATTGTTCAGGTCATAACTTTGTTAAGAACATTGAGCTGTAAACAGTGCATGTCTTTTTCGCTATCCCGTTTATAAAATGCTATATTAGTTACGAACGTTGTAAACTAATTATTTGAAACTCTTCTGTGCAGGCATCGAAACAACTGGAGAAGACATGATGGAAGGATAATCAGCTCAAGACGTTAACATTGTAAGTGTTCCCTGCCGACTCGTGTAGTTTTTGTAACCACTAGGGTGTGCTATAAATCTGGAAATAGTAAATGTATATTTTGGGTCTTACTTAAAGTTTGCTTTTATCTTCAGGGGATCGTAGTCTGCGTAACTGCAAAGATGGATGAAGCGAAGGATTTGAAGGATACCTGTAAGTATTGTACTTGAGGAACTATAGAAACAAATAGACATTTACAATGGAAACCTCTGTTCTTGTCTGTTTCCACTAATGGCCACGAATATTCTTGATTATTGCTTTAATTTAGTTGGTTCTAATTAATGTTAACAATTGAATAAATATTGCAAGAAGGAAAGAAATGGGGTGAAATTCTGTAGCTTGGTGTTAGCAACCATTTACGATCCAGCAGAAGGTATATTAAAAATACTGTCGAAATTTTACACTTTTGTAAACACAGATGTTTTGCTGGACGTAGTTATATGTGTTGATTACTGGACATTGAGCAAATGTGAATTTGCCAATTGAGGTTTGGTACAGTGTAAGCTAGCTACTAGCTATTATCTTTGTTAGTATCCAAAGTGGGTGGGACCAACCTGAAAGCAACTAAATATTTGGCCTTTGATGCTAAATGCTTTTCCAAACAAACTGTAGTGTATGTTTGTGTATTGGTACCATGTTATTTATAAATTGTGTTGGTTTATACCAACACAAGTAGTAGAGTAGTACTTTTTTTGAAAAATGGGGTATAGAGAAAAATATTTAATTTACTGGAAATATGAAAAAAAAGTTTGTATGTAAGTGTGAAGCTAAAAGTGTTTTGTGTTAAATTTTATTTAAATGCATTTAATTATTCAGGGAAATTGGTTTGAATTTTCAACAGTCAGTAGTGCTAAATCACTATTATGGTTAAGGCTTTCAACTTCCATGGGAGCGTTCATCTAAACTTAGCAGTACCATTTGGACTAGATTGGTTTTACATAGGGAGGTGGAGAAATGTAATTGTACCACAGGATATCCTGGATTGATTCTCATGGGATAAGAGATCTTGCTATGACCTACAAAGATGGGAGTGGCTACTCGATTTGCGCATTGCCACTGCTCCAAAGTAGTTCCATACCAATTCATTTGATTGCTCACAAGCAGGGAACGTGTCTCACGTTTAATTTAATCGTAATTTTTTGTTTACTTGAACTTAATCTACCTAGCCGTCTCAAATGAATGCAGTGTTTTTAGCATTGACGTGGGCGTGGGACTTTACAGCCAACGTTCGAAATCGGTCCATCAAACTTTTTGCTTGTTTTTTTAAATGTCATTTTACATGTTTAAATGTTTGGAGTTGTACATTAAAGGTAGGACAAAATCCTTTGGGCAAGTAAATGTTTCAAATGCCTTCATCCTTAAGACGGAATTGTGAAAGCTCCTTTTGCCCATGGTATGATGAAATATTTATCGCTGATATTTATTAGATTAATATAACTAAAGATTCTGTGCATGGCTCATTTTATAGTAGGTCGTAGTAGGTGAAAGCTACTGAAATCTATACTGATGTGGGAGTGCACAGTCTGTAAAATTGAGATGGCTGATTTGGACGGGACTAAAATAATAGAGAAACACCAGTAAAAATTGTTACTTTGCTTTTTTATGTAACAGTAATAATGTCTGTGCAAAGAATAGTGAAAACTACCGTATAGGTGCAGATGTCTATGCAAATATTGTCATGGGATGGACACAAGGTCTTCAGTACAAAGTATGTTATTTATGAACTGTTAAATTTAGCATTCAAGATAAGTGGTAGTAAGGATGTAGAGGCTGTGTTGTCATCTACAACATAAAATTTATGTAAGCCTAGTAAGAAATTTGTGAACCATTGAAGAATATGTTTTGCCTACCTCTGTATATGCTTGCGAGGTTTTTTATTTTATTTTATTTTTTTTTTTGTGGAAATGCGCTTTCCGTTCAGCTCTGCAGTCATGAATGAAACCATGTCTAAAAAATAAACAAAATAGTTGAACTAGTATTTTAGCAGTGTTTATATTATGCACTAGTTTGTTAATCTTGAATTTACTAGCACTCACGTGATCAGCACAGTAGCCTCGGTTTGCAGTTACAGTATTTCCTGGATAAGTTAGCCAGAACTTCTGCTGAGAACGAGTGGAGCCATTGCAACCAATCAGATACCACTATACTGTATTTCATAGTAATCTTTGCCATTGACTAGATTTCCTTTTGAAAATGAAGGTGTTTGGAACCAAGACAGCATGATAATTGCATTGCATACTGACGTTTACACATTTTAAAACTCAGCACTCAACTACCAAAATTTGCCACTGCTAATTGATGCTACCAGATAGTTTAGCACATTTATCTGGCTAGCTTGAAGAACTTACTATGCATCAAGTTTGAATCAAGATATTAACAACTTTATTTGGATTAAAATACAGTAGTAGTATGAATTTGATACATTTTAGGGATTTTTTTCAATGTTTCAGTAATTGAATAGTAATTTGTACGTAATTGGATTAGTTGTAGTAATCAAAGATTTTGGCGTACCCAACAAAAGACTGCATATGGCGCACAAACGCCATGGAAATGTATACAAATTATTATGTTAGGCTGTTACAGTAATTAGTATATCAACAACCAGGTTGTTTTAACAGTTTGTTTAAATGCCATTTTACAGTACACTTTTGTTCTTCATTTTGTTGCCATTTTTCAAACCAAATCTTCTCTGCACTGAGTATTTGATACCAACACGATCATTTGAATTTCATACATAAAGTGAAAATTTTATGATGACGACTAATTTCCAAATTAGTTTTAGTAGTGGACCAAAATTTTTCCGTCCAACATATATGCATTTTTATTCGCTGTATGTGAAAATATACTTGGCTAATAAAGGCAAATATCCTTTAAAAAAATAAGCTTAATGTAAACAGTATTTCAACATCAGCTCCACAACTCTTATGCATGTTTTGACTAATTGAGTAGTCGCTTTTTAGTCCCTGATGCATGCAGTAAGGTACTAATGGGCAACCCTGTGCAGTTGTTGACATTTTTCCAGCTTTGCTAAATTAAAGAACTTAAAAGAAATCACAATTTCACATGAAAATATGTACATGTACACAGATTTTTAAAATATCGCATGCTGTAATTGACAGAACATTGGAAAGCATGCTGTTTAAAATGTTCATTTGAGTAATTCCAGTTTACAATTTTTAAAATTGTAGTTGGATGTTTCAGGATCACAGATCCATCAGTGGGTAGAGTGGCAGCTGGGTATAAATCTTAACATGGTCCTCTTAAGACATTGGGGCTATTAATGGGGCTTTAGTGTACACAAATTAGAGTAGTTATTATTGCACAGTTAAGTTACTAAAACGCAAATGGATGCACACCCAGGGTTGATAAATCAAGTCATGACAAGACTAACAACATGACATTGGTATGGTTTTTATAGCAGTGAAGGCTTTGAGAGTCAATTTACATTTATATTAATTTATATTAATGTTAATGGTTTACAGATTTCTTAAACTTAAGATTTTCATATTCTTTTAGTTAACACTAGTCTACGTCTAGTGCCCAGTAATACACTGTCAATAATGAGGAATTTGTCGTTGTTGGTAATGTTATTGGTGTCACATTGTGATACTGAGTTTTAATTATTGAAAGATAATGAGAATTATGTTTGTTTTATTCAGTAGAACAGTGGCGTCCCTGCTGGCCTTGATCCAGTAATTGATTATATCAAACATTGCAATAATTTGAATAAGCGCCAATGTTATGCAAATTGTTGTTTTTCTGTTCACTATCACATGCTATTTGATTTTTTTAAATTTGAGTTAAATTCTTTATGCTTATTTAACTATTCCATTTGTAGTCATTTTAAATCTGCGATTGCACTTCACTGAAGCTTATACAACCGGAATATCAACTATCTAACTACACACGTGCATACTCCGAGTGTCACAAGATTTGTGATGCAGCAAATGAAGCAAAGAAACTCTGCTACATGAGATGTGCTCTCTACTAAAGCGGAAAATGGACGAGCTCCTGCCAGTTTGGCAAAATTCTGCTTTCAAACCATATAAAAGTGAAGAATCAGTGGATGCTAATGGCATTACATACTGTCTGTGTAGAATAGTTGTTATTATTATACATGAAGTAATATTAGAAGTCAGCCTAGTTGGTAGTAATATTACCATTAGGGGGAAATGTGAACAAAACTCTCACACACTAAATTTGGATCATGATAGTTTATGGTTTATTGATAGTTTTCTCTAAATTTACATTATCCAAGCTTCATCTCTGTAGAAAAGCAGCGTCTTAATTGTTCAAAAAAAATTTGAGCATGTTACACATGGAATACAGAACCTGATATTCAACATTTTCAAATTATTATACATGATTATTACATGCTATATTCAAATGTAGTTATACCAGTTGGGTTGAAATAAATAGTAAGTTTGGAAATTTGGAAATCTGCACTCGTATTCATAAAGCTTCTCAAAGTAGAAGCGCTGATCTAGGATCATGTTTCTCTCTTTTTTTTTTCTTTTTTCTTGTTTTTTCCTGTGGCTTTACTTATGGGCGCAGATCCTATTTCAGAGCACTCTAGCTCTGAAAAGCATTGTGAAACATTGGGTAATTTTACCTTATTTCTTAAAATTAACCGTTGGTATAATTATAAGAGAAGAAAGCAGGGTAAAGCAGTCCAATCAAAACAATTCAGGTATCTAAGACATTCTTTCAGTATTGAGTACCAGTACTCAGCGAGCAAAGGTTCATTAACTCGATACCTTGATGCTGTGAATTTTTTGGAAACCATTGTGTGCTTTGAATTTTATCAGTACTGCCCTGCACGGCCTAAAGCCAAGTCACATACACACAGGAAAATAATTACTCAAAGAAACCATTATCATGTTTTTCAGCCACCTCAAGTCATTAAATTAACCCTTAGTAGTGTAGCTGATTGAAGCATACGTGGCATTCCAGCACACCAAACGCGCCCAAAAAATGTTGGTCACTTCATTTCACTTGCTTTCGTCAGAGTAAAATAAGGCTGGGTGGAGCGTCCTAATGCAACTTTATTCTCGCTCCACTCTCGCAGTTGTTGATTAGTGTGTAGAGGAGTAAAACAAGGCCTTAACTAGTGCTTAATCTCTTGTTAAGTGGTTAGCTCTGCTGACGATGTAAGTCACTGGTAATGACTAATTTATAGATTAGTTTTTTCTTATTTCAGAGTACTGAACCATACCATATCATCTCTGGAACTCACCAGCAATGTTGTTTTCATCTGTCAGTTTTTTGCAACGGAAGTTTGTCTAAATAGTTCAGATTCAGACTAAGTCTCCCCCTCTCCCATCAGAAGAGGTCTGCCTCTGAGGACATCAGGAGGACTGTACTAAGAAAAGAAGTAGTCTCGGTAAGTCCACACATTTTTTTTTTGTCCTTGTCATTGTGGTATGTTAGCTCATATGTCTGTCATTGTAGCATAGCGGTGCACTCACATGGAACTGTCCCTACTCTAGGAGTGGGATGTTTAACTTTGAGTCTAAAGGCTAACATGAACTTTATTGCAAGATATATTCTCTCATTAAAAACCTACTTAAACAACAACAAAAAAACATAGTGACAAACCAAAAAACCTAAACAAAACCTTTAGTTCTTGAAGGGTAGTCAGAAACCTTTTCTTTAGAAAGAAGAGATTATTTAGAAGGAATTGAAGGTTTGTTGCAACTTTCCTGCCTTGATCTTCAAAAGATCTTCATTTGATAAGAAAAGAAATCACACCTAACGTATGTAGTCTTATATTCACGTATGTCTTCATTTTTGAGGCTGTGCTCTTCATATCTACTTTGCTGCTGTCCTCTTGGGGCACTGCCCTACCTCTTGAAACGGATCTTATTCCCCATGGAAACCTTGCATGAGACTGATGACGTCTCTTAACATGGAGCCTGTTCTGCTTTCGTGTAATGGTTTTTCACATCTTCTTGACCCTGAACTGGCATCCCTTTCATTTATCTGGCAGTATTCGTTCTTCCGAGATGGATCAGTTGTTCTTTCCCATTTAACTAAACATGGGTCTAAAATTAAATTAGCGTGACATCACGGTATTATCTTTCGTCCTTGCATTCTGTTCAGCACCTTTTGTTGCTGATTGTCAAAGATTTATACCTGGATTATTCTACACGTTTGAAAAGCTATCATACTTTTGTCATTAGATATTAACTTGAACTCAGCACTTATACAGTTATTACACAGTAATATATTCATCCATGTATTCATGGATGGAAAACACTTTGGCATTCCATATAATGCATCAGTTCATTACTTCCCTCTAGTGGATGAGCTTTTTCTGGATTTTAATCAGTAGAGATTTGAATTACCCACTTAATTCATCCTGATATCGAAGTATCATATGTGGGTCCTAGTTCAAAAAACCCATGTACCTCAACTTAAACAACAAACAGCTAAAAAAAAACCCTCATGTTTCGTAACAGTTCACAGTTCTTTGATTGCTGCCATGTAGAATTATAAAAGTTTCTTTTGTCACAACAACTGAAACAGTGAGTGTATTATATGAAGCTTTAAACTTGGAAATACTTTTGATTATTACTCTTGAAATACTTTTAATTATTGTTATGTAAAAGCGGATACTGGATTGTTGAATCCTTTCAAATGCTTCATTCAGCTGTGGTGCAAAATGTTTTACTTTACAATTTATATCCACATTTTAGTTGACCTTTGACTGGAACACTAAAACCTCTGGAATTTTAAATTCATGTGTTTTCCATTTCCACCAGTTCAATCAAGACCACTCAACTTTATTCTGTGAACTTAGAAAGTTCATAATGAAAATGGAAAAAAAATGGAGAAAAAAAATCATAGTAAAGAACTAGATGTTGAGTTGCTAGTTACCTATGGACCTTAAAACATTATAGTATAGTAATAGTATAGTCATTATTATAGCATACAATGCTAGTATGTAATGGTTATTGGTAGGGGACGATGTGGCAAAAATATGATCTCGATAAAGGCATTTAACAATACAAAATACCTATCACAGTATTTTGACACACTGACACAATGCGGTGTACTGCCCCATTTGAAAACTGCCATCAAAAACTCCTGGCACAGTGATTTTTATTCAACATTTCACATACTGCGCTAAATTCAATGAAACCAGATTATGTTGTCTTTTTAATGAAATGTGCCGTTGGTCAGTGTTCTTTAAGTTCTGATGATATCCACAACATGCTCAGAAAAATATATTGTGTATAGCAATACGGTATCGTCATGTTGCCCACCTGTATCACTATTACTGAACAGAAAATACTTTGGCATCTTGCATAATATTGTTACTTCATGTTACTGTAACAGTAATATTTTCCTCTAGGATTCTGCATGTGGAATACTTTTAATTACCAGTCATAACTACAGAAATTCTCAGCTTTTAAAAAGGTGAAAAGTGTATAGACTGTCACGATGTTGAATCTAGTCAAACTTGAAGACTGACACATTGACGTTGCCTTATATACAATGACAGACATATGACGTGAAACCAGAAATGTCTTAAAATGTGAATGTTTTGTGGTGTGACGATTGTAATTCTTTAGTTGTTGTCAGACTAGGTTTACTGTGAAGCATTGAGTGCTTTAGTCATGAGTAGAGCAAGAAGTGTCATTAAGATTCAGAATTAGTTTTTTTGTGGGTTGCCGTTGTTTTATAATTGCTTAATTGTTCGTTTATTACGTTATTACATTGTTATATGCATTAGCGCACCCAGTGAGGTACAGTGTAGATTGATAGCATTTTGTTAGATGGGTTAAACGGCTGTGTATGCGTTTGCATCTTAAACTAAGCATCTTGATCGTTTCTTGGCGCTGTCCTACCATAGATGACTGTTAAAGCTACAGCTTTACCAGTTGATTTTCTTGCATCACCCCATCACTCTTGATGAAGCTAGCTAGCCCACAGTAGATTAATTTGGGATGTTTTTTGAAATGTTGGTTCGAATGACTTTAAGTAGCTTTATGCTATGAGTAGGTTGTAGGTTCTATGGAAAGCTGTTCTGTCTTGGTCCGTGCACTTAAGGTTTACATGTTTTCCCTTCTCCTTTTTGATTTCATTAAGACCCCCTACTGGACAATCGAATGGAGACTACAGCTTTATCAGGAAGATGGCGGATCTGATTTTGCTTTTGGATTTGTAAAGACAGAACCTTTATGTAATTTTGCCTGCTGTGGTGCACTTGTTCTTTATTCGGACAAATGTTTTTCAATGTTGTTTTTCCAATGTTTTAACGGTGTTTTGTTACAACTTGCAACTTTGTATTGTTTCAGCCAATATGTACATCCTGTATGTATGATCATTCAAACTTGAATATTCTATTTTTCATTTAACTAAATAAAACTTCTAGTTTTTAAATGATTCTGACTTGCTCTCATTGGATGGGGAAATGCTTCGATAACCTGAGTTAATATTTCTTCTTTGTAAAAGTCAGTGTCTAACCAATTTTTGGTTTTCAAAGATTGCAATAATGGTTTTCATCTGGTTAACATCTCTGTGTGGCTTCCTGAATTACATTGGTCTAAGAGATGACATCATTACGAACTGTGAATATTTACGTAAGCCGCTCAGTCTAGCTAATTTAAATCATAAAAGCGTCTATTATTATGCAGCAAAAGCTCGATGAATTCAGTCGGTCTAGAGCTTAACAATCATACAAGCCCATCGTACCCAAAATGTTAAAATTCCAAAAGCCCTCATTCTTGTCCAGCTTCCATGTCTCGATGAATTAGATTGGTCTAGAATATAAGACCCAACAGTGAATTACGAACTCGCTACGGTCAGACTAGCTTGCGATGTCCAGCACGTTTAAATTCTTGAAGCCCTCATTCTTACTCAGCCGTTCAAATAAAAATAAAATTATGTTGAAATACAACCTCGACACACATTTTTGGCTTTAATTCTTTTAATGCTGCCAGCTTTCAACAATATTCCCTGCAGTTGTTGTACAAATATGAAAAAATAATGGCACAGAAAGTGTCTTTCTGCCACGGTGGTCCAGTCTTAAACTCAACCTTGAGTCTAAACTCAAACTCAGGGTTATGTAAAGAGTTAGATGTGCTCTAAAATGGTGTCCCTTACAGTCCAACACTCTAAAATGGCTCCTGATATCGCATTTCCTGTCTGAGCAGGAAGTGATGGCTTACTGAAATAATTTCTTTTATACCCCCTAAAAACAATAGTCTTGTAATCTAAAGCCTCATTATGTGTTCTGGGTGGCATATCCGTCCTTTAGGTTAGCATGAGGTCTTTAGTGGAAGTGTATTAATGAAGTAGTTTTAGTTTAAAATAAAGGGGGTGGGTCTTCAGTGCATCACCTGAGTCCGGGCTAAATGGAGAGAACGTCAATCAGAGGCTGAAGCTCTCAGAGCTGGGAAGGAGCTGTAGATGGCGGATGAGCCTTGGGAAGGGGAACTCGCTGAGCCTCGCCGGGCTCTCTGGAGCACTTCTCTCTCAACTTTCTCTAACTTCAACTCTCGCGTTAGGGCTCGTATTTAAGCGGATTTGATTTGTATATTTCGTGGGGGAATGTAGAAACGTTCGTGCGTCGTTTTTGCGGCTTTGTTTCGTCGAGAGAAAAACATGTACTGCTTTAGCGTAGAGGAGACAGTCGTTGTTTTCTCTGCCTTGCGCTGGCAGCCATGGCGGTCCTCCATTTTTAGTGCGCCGCGCAAGGCGCTTTAGATCCTCCACTCTCCATTCAAAAGGCCACCGCCGGATTTCTTTATTTCTTTTTTCCTTTTTCTAATAATATTCCGTTTTCTATTTTCATTCGAGGTTGTCGGAATCTGTTTTTTTATTTTTCGTGCCGGAGTATTAAATCGACATTTTTTTTCGGCCGCTACATTTCCCTACGTGTCTGCGGAATAGGTATGTTTACACTGTATATCAATGTAATCGATTGTTTTCTGATTTTATCATCTTTTTAATCGTCCTTTGTCTGATGACGCAGTAAGAATTTATGCATGTGGCTGTGCTGGATCTGTTGCATTGAAAGTCTATCAACGTATGTTGTTTGACATCGATCAGTATCGAGCAGGTGTCCTGTAATTCCTCACTGTTTAGAGCTTAATATTTACTGTTAAAACGTATTTCTATTGAAATGTGTGAGTCGAGGTTGTTTTTCTGCTATGTCGCAACGGGAGGACTTTTTCTGTCCTTAAAGCTAAAGCGAGCCAATGGGACTTGTATGATGGTTCACCCCACTTTCAACTTTTGACAGTTAATACCTGGACTAACGACCATCATTAACAAAAAGCTCAAAGGCAAAACGATGATGACGAACAAGAACAAAAAACAAGGAGACGACGGCTCAACTCAGAGCAATGCTTCAAGGTACGACACTTTTATTTTTCCTTTTTTCCCTCTGCCACATCTGTCTTGATTGTTTACCTTGACAGGCATGGTTGATCACCTGTGCACAGATTTTAGCCTCAGTTTCTATGAAAGAGACTGGTTTTAGACCATTGACCTTGGGATAGTTGAATAGCCACACCCTAATTTTACTGGCAATTCTGAAACTGAATAGAAGCTATTAGGCCTGTCTGAAGGAGTTGGATCTGAATGTATACAGTCCTGAAAGCGGTGAATTTCCTTATGAATCAAGCAGTGCATGGTTTCTCTCATTTTAACGTTCCTTTGTGATAAAGTAAAATGACCTTGCCTGATTAGTTTGTACTGCATTGCACCATTTTTTACATGTAACATTCATGCTAATAAAACAGATTTGCTCTCATATCATGTAATAGTGACCATGTTTTAGATTGACTTCTGTGTAATAGATAGTAAAGTGGTGTTAGGTATCGCGTGTAAGGCCTGTTGGATCTCAGAATGACTCAGTTTGATTGATATGACAATTCACCAAAAGCCTACATATTAACAGGTTAACATTTAATTGAATTTAATGAAGCATATGTCTTTCTGTAATGTAATCTTATTATGATATGTTTTTTATTCAAATTTTTGTGCAATCTTTTTATGTGGTAAAACATTTTATGCCAAATGTTTGTTTTCTCTAGCTGAATAGTTTGTGGGGCCTGGCAGGAGGGGGCTTTACAAATTTTTTTTCTTTCTTTTTTTAGGTTTTTTTGTTTTTGTTTTTGTTTTTTATAAGGTTTTATATGCACAGTCATTGGAGCCTATACTTTTCCATTAACCTGTAAGATACTCATGACCTGTACACTTAACTTTTTTTCTCCCTCAGGATTGGTGGTTATTGATTTTCTGCATTTTACACAAGCCATTCATTTATTTTACTATTATGTTTTTAATTAAGAGGACTTTTTGTTTTTGGTAAAATATTTTAAAATTGAGATTTGGGGGATCCACCTGTGTGCATTGTCACCCAAGTTGCTGTTTTGTTTTTAATGTTCCATAACTGGCAGGGGAGTGACAGGAGTGAGCCCGCAGCCGGAGGGGTACTGGTGTCACTGTCCTGTCCTACTGCCATTGGGCCCTTGAACAAGGCCTGCTCTACAGCAACTGACCCTGCACTTAGACCCCAGCCTCCTTCTCTATCTCCTTAAATATATAGTTTCTGTCCTAACAAAACCTTGTATGTCCGAAATGGAAAAGGAAGAAAAAAGTTATTTCATGTATGTTAATGTAATGAAATTTTATTTCAAGTAATTTTTAACCATTTCTATTGATCTTTTGGCATGAAATGCTCATACAGTGTAAAGGGCCCCTGATGTTTTGAAATAGTGTTTAAAAAAAAAAAAAAGGGCAGGAAAAAAGCAGGAGGCTTTGATCAGAAAGTGACATATATATATTGTCTCAGGAATTGGTGCAGTGGATGTACATATGCAGAAAATATTTTCACTGTAGTTCTAAATCACTACAAGGTAGTCCTGATTAGTTAATATATTCATTTAGAACCAGTGGGCCTTTCACATGCCACAAAGAGTGCTTTAAGCGATGCCATGAAAGAACCATGTTTAAAAAAAAAAAGATTTGCGAGTGTGAAAAACCTTTCGAAGGTTTAAAGACCCTTTACATACAATAAAGACTATAGAAGTTTTTGTTCCTAGATACTTTACATCACGTGGAGGTTCTTTAAACTTTAAGAATGTTCTTCCCACTCATACTTCTCATTTACATTCATTGAAAGGTTCTTTAGGGAACCAGAGGTGGTCCTTCCATGGAATTATGCAAAGTAACCTTCTTGGCAGCCATTTTTTTTTTGTATTGTTTTGTTTTTTGTTTTTTTTCCTTAAAGCACAGTAAATGCTGTTCTCATGTCTCTCACCACACCTGTGGTGGAGGTTCAGTGTTTGAAGTTCACAAGTTTAATAAACAATTACAGGTTGATTAAAAAGTAAAAATGGGAAGAGTATTTTGTTGAGTATTGTGAAATTATTTTTTTATAGTTTTTAATGGGTTTTCAAATTTGTCGCATCATTATGTCTGAGTATTGTACAGCGGTCTTACATTCAATAGATTCATTCTGGTATGTTTTGGTTGTATTTCTTATAAAGGTTGAAAAGCTGAATGTCATAAACAGGTTTAATCAAACTACCTCAACCTGAGCTATGTTCTTACGTTTCTAAATCTTTTAAAGCTGACCTGAGGAAGACGAGTGAAAGATCCACGTTTCACAACTTGTAATATTTTGCTGTCCAAAATGGTAATTTTACAGAAGCCGAAAATGTTCTTAATTTTTAATGTAAGTTAACGTAAAGAGATTTTAGTCCAGGTAATTTTGGAGCTCTCCTGTACGTCCATTCCTTATAGAATTATCTTACGTAATGATAAAGGAACTGGAACATAATTTTATCATTAGAATGAAGCCGGTTTTTGTAACAAAAGGGCTTTATTTGAAAAGGCTACTGTATACACTATCATGAGTTTTCATGTCACTTGTTTGATGTCAGACTTCTATACAGTATTCAGAACTGGTTTAGAGGTTGTTGGTTTACATTAGCTTAATGTCCTGACCATGGAGCGAGAACTCACACCAAAGGTTGTCCTTCAGGAAGGTGACTGGACTGTTGGGCTTTTGGCAGCCATTTTCTTAACATCTTTCAGAGAAAGTTAAACAGAAAAATAAACTGGTTCTGACATTTTAAATGCTGTAATTCTTTGACTTGCACTGTATCCTGTGTGAATCATTCAAGAGGGAAAAAATAAGAGTACAATGGTGTCTTTAGTGTATGAGCTGTATCATTAAATGGCTGAAAGTCCAGTTGAAAGTCACAAAATGGCTCTTGCTTTGTGCTGCATAGCCTGTATGAGTTACACAGCATTACATAAAAGGTGCATGGAACTACAGGAAGGGAAAGCAGGAAGTGCTGTAGAGGTCAGAAGTTGCTTTGCTGAATTTTGATTGGCTCTTTCCCTGTCTAGCAACATGGCAGCCAATCGTGGCTCAGCTGAGGGGTTAGCCCCACCCACGTGTGACATCACCCGCCATATAAGGACAGGCTGGTTCCCCGGCTGCTCTGCTTTGTCAGCAGCTGCGGCGCTGACTCCGGCTAGTGGCTTCCGCTAGTAAAGTCCCTCACTGAGCCTGATTGTGCTCAGACATACAAAATCACGCCAGCATACTATATAACAGACATTTTAAACCAGATTATATTTGAACAAGCGTGTTATAATGTGACGTGGTTAAAGACGGGGAAAACGCAAGTTACATGTTTAACTCTGCATGTACGTATTTAACGCAAAGCAGTCTTAACTACGTTAGTTGTAGTCACATATTTTACACATTGGTGTATCGCTCTGAGTGTTCATTCAGCGCCGGTAGCAGTGTTGGTTATTGTTACAAGTACAAACACGGATTAAGGATGTGTTGTTTTACCAGTCGTGACCGAAGAAATCGTAGCCCCTGTCTTTAAAGGGACAGTGCCTTTAGTTTTGTGCTCATTATGAACAAAGCTCGCTGTACAGTCCTGTGCTGTCGGCCTTGTTATGGGAGCAACAGTACATTTGTTTAAACTTACAGCAGATATTCCCACATCTAAACTCCAATGTCATACAGTGCCATGTAATATGCATGTAATGTAACATCATATGGAAATTAAGATGTATTATCTGCATTACAGTTGATTTTTTTTTTTATAGCAGTACTATTATGTGAATGTTAAAAATAATAAAATGACATTTATGTTGGCTTATGTTTCTCACAAAATAGGGACCGAGAAACCGGTTACACAAGTAATCAACCTCTAAAAGGACATTAAAGATAAACATCTCTGATGTTTGCGTTGGCGTTTTTTTGTTTATTCATGGTAGTTTTCAAAGAAATTGATACTGCTTTGATGATGGGCAGTCTCGTTAATGTCCAAGTTAATATTTTAAGCTTCTGTCCTGTTTTGGACTGACCGACCTGAAAAGTATTCGTTTTATTTTCTTGACTGAAGGAGATTTGCTTGCTGGATCTGTAGAGCCGAAGAGAGGAATCATAATTATCTGATTCTGCAATACATTATAAACAGATGTCTTTGTAACCATTCATGATGCATTGAAAAAGGCAAATTCCTGATTCCTTTGCATTTGGATCTGACTGTGAAGTGCACTCAGTGTTTGAACAAAGGGGGAAAAAAGTAAGCTATAAGATTCATTTTAAGTTTTGAGTGGTTTACTGACACTCATAACAAGAGCTCAGTGTTAGCAGGGCTGATATTGGCCCTTGTAATTTTACTCATCACCCTTACAATTTGACACTGAAGTCTGTGCCTTCTCACAGTAGTGATTTCCCTCATTATGTATACTTCCTGACTAGTTGATGAAGGGGAGAGACAGACTTTGCCATTATGCAATGAATGATGCACATTGTATTTGCAAATAAGGGGTTTTTTGCATTTGCCTTTTTTTCCCCTCACATTTTGTGACGTCCACTGGGATTCACTTTCCTGAACGGTGTCAAACAGCCACCATAAAGTAGAGGTGGAAAAATACTGCGAATCACTACTGAGCTTTACAGTAAATATCTGTGTAGGTCAGTGTCAAAATAAACTCACTCTTAACTGACTTTCTCACTCTGTTTTACTTGCAGTCTGGTATGGATACGTATACAATCAACAACTTTGTTTTTCAGTTTTTTAATAAACAACAGAATGCCAACTTGAAAATATTTGTTCATTAAGGGCATGAATAATAAAATAATAAAAAACAATAAATAATTAAATGTATCTGATCTAGCTATGACACACTTTCAGTTTCAGTCTTTTATCTTGAATGTTAATCTGGAGGTTTGTATTGTCACATGTTTCACAAACCACACTCTTTTTTTTCCCTTCACCCACAGACTCCCAAGTGTTCACCACATGCAAAATATGTTGACTGTTTTGAAGCTACGAGGGTAATCGCACGTTTGACTGCGTTAATTATGTATAGCCGATCTGAGGCACAGTGTAAACCTTTAAACAAGCATAGTTTTAAAAACAACCCAGAAGAGAAATAACTCGAATATACGAAGTAGAAACTGAGGAAACAGGTTAACATGAAGTATTATCAGAAGTGATTAGTTATGAATTACTTTTACTGTTACAGGGTCTTCAGTAAAACTGGACTGATTTGTACTGTTCCGAGTATTTTCAAGTGATACAACCTTTTCTTACTTCTGTTTGTCATTCACTTTTAGTTCCTTTCTTGTGTTTAATTTCTTATCTGTATTTCACAGTGGGACTGCTTTCATTTTAATTGAGAAAGCATTGTAAAAAGAAGGAAAAGCACCAAAGTTTAGCTCCTATAACGATGGATGCTGGATATAATAAGCAGGTCCTTTGCGATTTCATAGGGAGCTCAGGACATGAAGACCCGATACATTTTGACTCCTACTCAAGATGTTTTTGGTAGCAACTTGATGTGTTACTTTATTGAAGTAACAATACTTGAATGATGTAAGTTACCCACCGCTAACGGTGATGAATAAAAGATTATCAAAGAGCTAGATGAAGAATATAGGGGTGTGATGATTCACAAGCCATGAGTTAATACATTAGCTCCCAATATGTGATATATTAGCTAATATGCTCTCATGAGGAGTGTGCTTTTCCTCTATGCTCTCGATGAAGAGGTGATAGTTTCAGACAAGGGAGTTTCACATTCTTATTGTGGGATTTTTATTGTTGTCATACAGAAAACCTTTGACTCCATTGTCCTTTTTTGCTTTATTGCATAAATTGAAAACAAGTTTTACATTGTGGTTAAATGTCATGATGAACAGACCAACAGAAATGGTCAAAAATTACTTGGGGGGGGGAAAAGTCCTGTATCATCAACTTGCATTACAAAAAAGTTGCGTGGTTTTTCCTCCTGCTGTGAAGTTACCATTTTGAAGGTTTTGTTCCAACAATGATGTTATACGTCATGAAATGTAATCAATACTAAACTGACTACTTCAGGTGCTCCAGTAGTGTTGAATGTATTGATTGATACCTGTGCATGTTGATTTGGGAGACTCATTTTGAATGATGTAGTATGATGCCTTGTGTTGTTAGTCCTAGTGATGATGTAGCCTGTTCCTGATACACTTCTGAACTGTTGGATAGAATTTCTTAAAGGAACATATAAACGTAACAAGAATTTCTTATTTTCAAAAAAGTAGTTGATACACTTAATATCACCTAATGACTCAAAAAAGTAGTTTTATATACTGAAGCCAATTAAAAGAACGTTTTGTTTCAGATTTCTTCTGGATGTCCCCAGCCATTGCATCTATTATTTTAAATTCCAGCACAAGCTCACTTGATTTAACATAATAAAGGATTGATTAGCCAAACCAGGTGTTGGATGATAACTCCAAATAATACTGGGTTTTTGTGTGAGGAGATGTTGGCAAATGGTTACGAAAACAAAAACTTAGCCAAATGTGAAACCACTACTTATTGTATTAATGTTATTTGTATTTATTCTAATGTTAGTGTTTTTTTATGCTTACTGAACTTACTGAGCTAGCTTTTTAATTAGTTATAATTTTATATATATTATATATATATAGTTTATAAATTTAAAATAAACAACAGAACAAAATTTTAGAATTATAAACATTTTAAAAAGATTTAAAACAAAGAGAGGTTATGACTCTCTAAAATGAAGAAATCTGCATTATTCTCAGTCACTATTAAAATTTAAGCAAATTTGTAAAATTGACCATGTTGAGCACTTCGTACAAAAAGAAAAGTCTGATCCCTTCCATTAAAAACATGTTCAGACAGCTTTGATATACTCATCAGAAGCTTTTGCACAAACTTGGGGGGGGGGTCCATAGCAGCTCGAGTGCACAGTGTCATTGAAGCAATTAAGGACATAACCTCTCAGAAATTCTGCAATTCATGCTAAAATTTTCAAGATTTACTTTTCTTATTTAAATTGTTATGCTGATTTGTAATAAAGTTTGTAACAAGTCTTTCTATCAAATTACAAAGGCATGCAAAATAGAAGCATTTTCACCAGTGGTCTCAGACTTTCCATACCTTATTTTATTATTATAGATACATTCATTAACGAATAATCATACATACATTAATTAACCCTAATAATTTGTCGGGCTATTTCCAGAGATTTGACATTCACCAAGATGTCAGACTGAAATATGAGCCTTTTCCCGTTTCTGTGCTTGTTTGTCAAGCATGTGTTTTTGTATAGACCTCTTTTGGGAAGTTTTCTGTGGTCCTGATAGCTGAACGTGCCCGTCTCTGCTTTTGTAGCAACTCAGCATCAGAGGAGTCAAACCACTCCGGCTCGGAGTCGGCCAGTCAGTCGGAGAGCGAACAGGGCAGTGAGCGAGCACGATCCCACCACTCCGAGTCCAACAGCTCATCTGAGTCCGAGAGCCGCTCCGAGTCTGGGAGCGAGTCTGCTGGCTCCAAGACCCACCAGGCAGAAACAGATGAGCTTGATGCCAAAGAGAAACGTATCAAGAAGAAGGATCTGACAGACGTAAAGAAGGTAATGGCAAGAAATCGTGCCCCTCAGTCTCAAAGCAGCCCCCGTTTCACGTATCATGTGAGGTAGGAGGTAGTGCATGCAAATATAGTTCTTCAGTGATTAGGCACGAAAAGATAATAATTTACCAATACGTTACTGATACACACTCATTGCTAACAGGTGTATGAAGTCAAGCACGTTGCCTTGCAGTCTCCATAGACAAATATTAGAGTAGAAGAAGTTGTACTGAAGAACTGAAGGGACTTTAAATGTGCCATTGTTCTGGGGTGTCACCTTTGCCACGAGTCAGGTTTTGTAAAATTTCTGCACTGCTAGATCTGCCCTGGTCAACTGTAAGTGCTATTATTGTGAAAAGGAGGTGTCTGTGAGCAACAACAGCTCAGTCACAAAGTAGTAGGCCACGCAAACTCACAGAGTGAAGCCGCCGAGTGCTGAATCACATAGCGTGTCGTCTGTTTTATCACTCACTACAGAGTTCCAAACTCAACTCTAGAGGAGTGGAAACATGTTCTCTGGAGTGATGAAACAGACTTGACTGTCTGGCAGTCTGATGGATGAACCTGGGTTTGGCAGATACCAGAAGAATGCTTCCTACTGGAATGCGTTGTGTCAACAGTAAAGTTTGGTGGAGGATAAATACTTTACTGGATCTGTTTTTCAGGGTTTGGGTTTGGGCTCGGCCCCTTAGTTCTTGTGAAGGATAATGTTGATTCTACTGCATACAATGACATTTTACACAGTTATATGCTTCCAACTTTGTGGCAAGACTTTGGGGAAGGCCTTTTTCTGGTCCAGCCTGACTGTGCACTTGTGCGCAAGGTGAGGTCCGTGAAGACATGCTTTGACGAGGTGGGGAAAAACTCCGGTGGCCTACTGACCTCAACATATTTGAGATGAATTGGAATGTCAGTTGCAAGCCAGGTCTTCTCATCCAACATCAGTGCCTGACTTCACCAATGCTCTTTGTCTGAATGGGCACAAATTCTAATGCTAGAAATGCTAAACGATTTGCCATTTACTTGTCTAATATTGGAATGGGACAAAGGCAGTGTCTACCATTCGAACTAGTGTAAGACCCAGTAGCCTCTTATCAGCATCTCACTGATGTTTGGATCTATATTTATGTCCATAACCTCCAAGCGCACATCTGCTGTAGCGTATGCTGTTCATCTGATCCGAAAAGCCAGTTTCAGTGCTTTTATTTCACAATTAGACCATTTTATTCACTACTTTTTTAGTTTCGGTGCTCATGTTCCACTTGAAATTCAGCTGCGCTGTGACATTGTCACTCCATTTGACCTTTTTAGTGTCCTTTTGTCTGGTGTTTTTGTGTTGAACTAGGTCATTGCCTTGCCTTTTATTTGCTAAGCTTCTGTGACTGCCAGCTTTCACAGGCTGCCTGTTGCCTTGGCATACTGACCTTTTGTGTAGAGTCTTAAAGCAGATCAGAGGATAAATGGAAGATGAGACCTTTAGTGACTTTTCTGTCCTTCCTCTTGAATGATTTGATAACTGTAGTGAATTGAAGAATAAATAAGTTGGATGTGAGCTAACATGTAGTCACCTTATCTGAGATTGGACAATAGTTGACATGCTCACTAAATGAGTTTCTTAAGTGAAATGGAAAGACAGTGGGCCTCATTTACCAATATCTCCATTACGTCTTAAATTTGTTCTGGAAAAAGATCTGAAGAAAGTCTGAAAAGTCTACAACAGATTAATGATGTTTTTAAACTGATAAATTGTTTGTATCTTTGTGCTCCTGAGTGTGTAGATTCTGTTCTTACCTAAGAACAAATCCTGAATAAGTAAATAACCCTTTGGTGAATGCCAGAATCTTTGTGAAACCTGCATTAGTGGGTTTTAAGAAGAAATGTTTTGTTAAGAACATTTGGTAAATAATTTTATGTTTACATTTACAGATGTGGGAGAAACATCCAGATGTTTATGGTGTTAGAAGGTCCAACCGGAGCAGAACAGAACCAGCTCGTCTGAACATTGGAGCAGAGGTTGGCCATCTAAGAATTTTTTTCTGTGAACAGACTCTTGGAAGTGCACAAGTTCTGTTGTGCTACTTGTGGCTGTTAAGAAAAAATGAATCAACACAAGCTTGGACAATCGGTGAAACCTACCTAAATTTAAATTTAAAGACTACTACCTCTTGTGATCAAGACGCTGCATGAATGTTGTAGTCTGGTGCCCCCTTGAGGTGGTCTTGTTGGCTGAAATATTGTACTTTGCTGCCATCTAGTGGTTGTGACACCACCCACAGTGATGTTTGGTCCGTGCTGAAATGCCTATTTCACATCATTTACAGGGCAGCAGTGAGTCTGAGAGTGAAAGCCCTAAAAGAAAAGCATCCCAGCAGAAAAAGAAACAGTGAGTATGGACAGAACAAATGACAAATCGTCTGCTTAAAAATGTCCTTTGTTGTTAGCTGTATGTTTCATTGTGTTGTAGTTTCACATGATTTCAATACTGCATTGTAGTAACAGTCCACATGAATTATGGACATTTTTATTATTTTTACATTGAACTTCATTTGCACTACCAGTTATTACACTAGCTATATTATGTAGTAGATTAAGAGTATTTAAATTACTAGGTTGTCATCTATGAGTTAAGATTGCTGTAGTGCATGCAAATATCATGTTTTCCACACTGATTTGGCATGTAAGAACAGGTGTAATTTCCTAATACACTGGTCTGTTGTCAGTATTGCATTATAGATTCATGCAGTCACACATTATGTACATCACAATGCATTTCACATTGTTGTTTTGACCATAACTACAGTTCACTCCCTCATCTTTTTTATATGTTTGTGCTGGGGGGCATTTTAGGACATTCAGTTGATATTCATCTACCATCTTGTGAAAAAGATAAACGTTCCACTAAGTGTCATTTTGACTTGAATATGCCACATTATATGGTGTTTAGAGTTAATAACTTGGCACAAAATAGTGTCAGATTCCGCTTTGTATATGCAATCTATGGATCATTCTACTGAATTGGTTTAAGGTCAGAGTTTCAGAATTTGAGTAGCCCGGTACCTGTACCTTAACTGTGTGTAAAACAAATGATTGAACATTTCATTTTGTCGCTACCAAAACAACTACTGTGACAACTAGCACCGCTGACACGCTACCAAATAAATTTAAATCCTTCAACTTCATGAAAGTTCACAAACAGATCTTTTTAAAAAAAACAACATGGTGTTCACAAATTTAGGGTTTGGGCACCAACTTGGGTTAAATGTTGGGGGGCGAAAAGAAAAGAACAAATTTTTGAATTTACGTCCTAATCACTTGACATATGTTTAATTTGGGGTAAGGACGTTGAAGTAAGAGCAGGAGTCATGGGTGAATACATGTACATACTTTAGTAAGTTACTTTGTTATTAGTATCGTACATTGTTGTGATAAAATAGATACAGTGATCGCTTTGCACTGCTGTCGTCTCCTAATATTATGAACAGATCGCATATGGGGAAAAGTGTGATTTGCTCAATATTCATTTGTATAAATATAAAGTGCAAATATCTGTAATTTAAAACACTACCTTATTAACTAGTTAACCAGTTGTTGAAGCTGGCGCGTGCAGAGCGGCAGAGCCTCACAGACTCACACTGAAGTGCACAGTATTTAGAGAAAACGAGGAGGCGCTCACATCAAGCAGCAGAATACAGTGAAATAAGTCATTAGAATAAATTAACATGAAATAGAAAATCTTGTTAATATGCATATTCTCTCATTAATGACTGTTATCAAAGGAAATACTAGTTAAACATTCTCTACTGTACACAGATTTCCCTGGTTGGTCCACCAGGCTTAAACTATCACCCAGTAACAAGTCAGAATGCAGGCGACGGTAAACAGATGTAGCTGCTCTTTTACTCCTTATATTTTTATTGAGTAAATTGGCTGCTTTGACCGTTTATCCGTTTGGATAAAAGAGATCTGTAGATCTTTGTTACTGCTCCACTTGTATCACTCGTGAATGCTGTTACTGGTCTTGTAAAGAAAACTGTCTTTTAGCAGTAGTGGTCAGTTATAGAGCCCTTTCTGTGATATTAGATGCATATTTGTCCTCTTTCAGATTTTAAATGGTCAGTGTCACCATCGAACAAGCTGCATTCTTTTTGCCTTTGGGTTACCAGCTATTCAACACCAGGATTGATATACACTCATAAGACGATGCGTTTCCGTTTCAAACCTTTTTCCGTGGCCGCAGTCCATTTAGAAAGCTGTCCAAACAGAAAACACACTCCATGAATGTGTTTCAACCCGCAGTGCACTTTCAGACTAGCCGGATTTGTTGGAAAAACCACAAATCTGGCAACCCTGACTGACTGGGAGAGAACCCATGAGTGAAACGTGCACGTGGAAAACAAGCCATTTTTTGGTTGCCGTAGCGACCCTGCATGCTTACTTATTCCTACATAGCAGGTTACTTTGTTTGAACTAAGACAGTAGAATGGTCCATATAGCCAACATCAGCCTAACTGTTTTCCATAGGGCAACAGCAACCTGGGGTTGCCACTGCCCAAACATCTCACGGAACTAGGGTTACAAATCATACACAGTTAATCTAATGCAAGATCAGTGCTGCTGCTTGGGGGGTACACCTGGCCAGTCCATAGATCAGGCCTTTAGATCTCTTAGATGCTCTGTGTTGCTGGTCAATGAAGCAACCGCATGATAATGTAGTAGCTAAAACTATTGCTAGCCCCCCATGGGTGAATTTGTGGTATTTCTGTGTTGAAAGAAATACCTGGAAAGATGATGACTCAAACGACGAGGATGATGATGATGATGAGGAAGAGGCCAGCAGTTCAGAGAGTGAGCAGGAAGAAAAAAAAGTTAGATCCAGACGACTTCCTGCTAGAAGGTAAGAGTGTAGCGAAGCCTGGCCTTCAGACAGCTCATCCTAGCTTAATCACGATGAGCAATCTGATGTCTTTGTTTGAATCATGATTGAGCGAAGACAATTAACACGTTTTGGCTTGACTAATATTTTCCTCCTACAGTTGTGGTTCATTTCTAGTGCTTGCAAATTGGGTGGTGGCATTTCTGGTCTGTTGTGGCTTGATTTTTAAAAATCTGATGCAAACTTGATGATTTGATTCTTGTTCTGACTGTAGGTGGTTTGATTGTTTGAAAGCTGTCTCAAGGCCACTGGCACATGAGTCAGGCTAATAGGAGTGCTAATGAATCGCTACACTGTTCTACAGGGGATAGGGAAGTGCAAAGAGGGACGCTTGACCCGCAGCGATGGTTGAAAATACGCTTTTATGTGTTTTTGTGTGTGTGCAACCTTTTCAGACCTCAGACCAAATCCACAGCCAAGCAGCATCAGTCTCAAAAGGGACGGAAACTAAGAAAGCAGGAGTCGTCGGAAGAGGAGGAAGATGATGATGACGATGATGATGACGAGGAGGATACTCCAAAGAGACAGACCCGTCGCAGGGCAGCTACTAAAGTTAGGTATGGATCTCTTATTTTCTTGCTTTTTCCTTGTCAGCTGGTGTCACACACAGCAAGCAGTGTTTCCCCTGTCATTAGTTCGGGTCGCACTAAATGAACTCCTCGCCAACGACGAGTGCACTTCTTAAAAATAATTGTAAATAGAAAATAAAAATGTGTATTGATATGCAGTCTATTCATTGTATTTATGAACAATTCTGCATGATGATGCTTTTCCAGCCCTGCACAGATTTGATGACGTGATGTTTCTATAGGACTGCTAGCTTTGAAAGATCTACCACTCAAAAAGCAATCTAGGGGAAGCACTTTTTCAGTAAGTGTGTCTAACAGTAGGCTCTGTGATTACAGTTATAAGGAGGACCAGAATGATTTTGAGACAGACTCTGATGACCTGATCGAGATGGCTGAGGGGACAGAAGATATGCAGGACGACGACAGTGAGACCATTGAAAAGGTCATTGACACCAGGCTTGGTAGGAAGGGAGGTAAGCAAATGCCGTATGTACTGTGTTTTATTTTACAGTTATTTGAAGTTTTGAGTCGCTAGAGCTGGGTAAAAAAGTACTAGTACTGTAATTGCAGTTATGTGCAAAAGTTTGGTTGCCCCTTGTCAAATTTTGTTGATTTGAGTGCACATCCTTTACACACTTCTGCACGTAGCATGTGTGACAAGTTAATTATATACATATGTATGTATGTGTATCTATATGTGTATGTGTGTATGTACGTTTGTTTAAATATATATATATATATATGCGCACATATATATAGCTTGATTCAACACCCTGCAAAACACTCATCTGGAACTGTGATTTGTCAAGATACTCATAACACACATTGTAATGAGCTTCGTTTGCAGCCTTCTAAGATATTTCAAAAGCCAATATTGTTATAATGATTAACAAGTGATATATTATGCTGTCGTATAAGCTACTATAATTCTTTGAAACATCCTTTTTTAGGACCTCTTTTAAATATTTTGCTTCAAAGTCTTCAAATGACATTTTCTAAATTTCCAGCTCATGTGTAATACCATATTTGATTTGGGATACTTGTCTGCTTGTTTACAGCTACTGGGGCTGCCACCACCCTCTATGCTGTAGAGGCCAACGGCGACCCTGGAGCCGATTTTGACCCAGAGAAGGAGGAAGGAGAGACTCAGTACTTCATCAAGTGGAAGGGCTGGTCCTACATTCACAACACATGGGAAAGCATAGACTCTCTCACCCAGCAGAAAGTCAAAGGGATAAAGAAGCTGGAGAATTTTAAGAAGAAGAACGATGAGCTTAATGCTTGGTGAGGAGGGTTAAACCATATCTTATTTGCACATAAGCTGCACCTGTGGCCTTTTTATTTATGTAAATTGTCATTACAGATGACATTGCAGGACAATATCCACAAAGTTAGAAGTTCTTGAATCATGTTGGGTTTCATTTATTGTATGTGTTCAGGTTGGGCTTTAGTCAACTTGAGGCAGTGTGTTAGTGTTAACCCATAAAAGCTTACATGCGTCAGTTTGCATGTGAAGATTGTTTTGCTTAACCATCATTGGGTCTCTTGCAGGTTGAAAAGAGCATCACCTGAGGATTTGGAATATTACAACTGTCAGCAAGAGCTAACCACTGATCTGAACAAGCAGTTTCAAATAGTGGAGAGAGTCATTGGTAAGTACAGCCTTTACATCATGATTAAAGGCTTATGCATAAACCCATGAAGATTTTGGAACAGTCAGTGAATTGATATGGAGCTTTGTAGTTTTATGCTAAAATTACACCTTAGTCTTCTTTTCTTTTGCCTTTACAGCAACAAAAACTGGGAAATCACAGGTGCCCTCTGATTTTCCCTGTAAGTTTTTTGTCCTTTACCTTAATTTTGTACTCTTGTCCATTACCTGTTTTCAGTTAGCTGAAAGTGCTAGTGTTAGCATGGACAACCATTAAAACTGGAGAGTAGTATAACAGTTAGTTGATGTTTTTTGAAATGCTAATTATACAATTATACAAATCTCTGACTTTCTGTTTTGGTTTTCCCCCTTTTCACAACAGCGCATAAGACCACTTCCAATGAGCCAGAGTACTTGTGTAAGTGGATGGGCCTGCCCTACGCCGAGTGCACATGGGAGGATGGTGCTTTGATAGGAAAAAAGTTCCAGTCTTGTATAGATAGTTTCAACAACAGGAATGTCTCTAAAACCATCCCCTCCAAAGACTGTAAGGTGAGAGGCCTCTTCGCTCACTCTTCTGTATATTGCTTCTTTAAAGAGGACATCACCTCTGTTAGTCAAGTCATTCAGTGTGGTTTGGTGTGAAAAGGCTGATTGTAGAGAAACTTTCTCACTTGGACAGTGGTGATAGAACCAGTGGTTGTAATATTTACAACGCAAATATAGCCATTTTTGATTAGTCTGACTGAAACCTATCATAAAATAATGTCTGTCATGCAGTGTATTCATAACCATTTTGTTTAATGGCTTTATTCAATTCTTAGAGGTATTAAACTCTGGATGTCTTCCTGTCACCACCACTGTGAACAATCCTGTCTTTCAGAAGTTTGTCTAGAGTAGAGCATTTTATATCAAACTAATGTAAACTACGTTGTTGACATTTTAAACATTTCAAGTGAATTTTAAATTATGCAGAAATAAAAAAAAATCACTGGAAATCTCCTTTAATGTCTGATCAGGTTTAATTTTCTTTCTAATTGTTACTAATTTTACAGTTGAGTTACACAACAGAAATTGGCTACTTTAATTTGACTGTTTCATACAACTGAAACATGCTTTATACTGTTTCTTTGTCAGTTTTATTCAATAAAATAAAAAATATAATAATATAATATGTAATATTATTTGCCTTTACAAAAAATGGTGATCTATTTTAGTCTAACCTTTTTCTGTCCTTGAAACTTGAAGGTGTTAAAACAGAGGCCTAGATTTGTGGCTCTAAAGAAGCAGCCATCTTACATCGGGGATGAGAACTTGGAGCTGAGAGATTACCAGTTAGATGGGGTGAACTGGCTAGCCCACTCCTGGTGCAGGTATCTTTTAAAAGAGTTTTATAAATAAGCTTTTTAGGCTGCTTCAGCATGTACCTGAGTACAGTAAATGTACTGTTCTCTAAATCTAATAGGAAAGAAATAAATCTGTAATTATTTGTGAATATATAAAGATTTTTAAATGTTCAAAATCTTTCACTTAGATGAAAAATCTTGAAAGTTTGTTCTATCACACTTCTCATGCTGATATATTCTTGTCTTTATCTTTATTTGTTATGGTCTGAGCTCCTTTCCTGATGGGTGTCTCTTCTGTGTTGTCTAGGTGTAACAGTGTTATATTAGCAGATGAGATGGGCCTGGGGAAGACCATCCAGACCATTTCCTTTCTCTCCTACCTGTTCCATCAGCACCAGCTGTACGGCCCCTTCCTCTTGGTGGTGCCCCTCTCCACGCTCACTTCCTGGCAGCGGGAGTTTGTTACCTGGGCACCTGACATGAATGTCGTGGTCTATTTGGGGGACGTCTTGAGCAGGAAGACGGTAAGATGCTCCCTGATGTCAAAATGGCATTCCTGTGATCAACTATACTCTTGCATTTCAATGTGTGCAGTTCCTTAATAAACATTTAGCTTCATTTGACTGATTTTTCAAACATTTTTATTTTCTTTTCTTGAAAAGATTCGTGACTATGAGTGGATCCACCAGCAGAGCAAAAGAATCAAGTTCAATGTGCTTTTAACTACATATGAAATTTTACTGAAAGATAAGGTAAGAAGGATGAAAGAAATTCCTCCGTTATCTATATCTATCTACAAAAATGATGAGGTCTGAATTGGGAACAGACTGTTGATACTAGTTCTGTTCTTAATCCAGGGTGTTTTGGGGAACATAAACTGGGCCTTTCTCGGGGTGGATGAAGCTCACCGGCTGAAGAATGACGACTCGCTGCTATACAAAACACTGATCGATTTCAGGTCAAACCACAGGCTGCTCATCACTGGGACCCCGCTGCAGAACTCACTCAAAGAGCTGTGGTCCCTTCTGCACTTTCTGATGCCTGACAAGTACGTCTCACATGGCCTATATTTTTTCACTTGCTCAATTTGTGTAATTCGTTTAAATGAAATATCAGTAGATTACAACAGATAAAATCCGTTGGTAGTGCTACCTGAAACTTCCAGCTCTCTAGCATTTTGCCTATCAGTTGCCTAATTTTGGTAAATATACTTATAAAAACACAGCTTTTCTCCACCTAATGCATCAGTTTCTCCTTCTCTGATTCTGGCAAGTTTAAGCATGTTTTGACAAAAGACAGCTCGCTTAACCGCAGTATTTTTGTTTTGCTGAAATATCAGCACAATGACATGCAATACATCAAAAATAGAAACTGAGCATCCGTCACATCACACACTGTAGACAGCTTTGTTGAATATAATGGGAATGTTTTGGTTTTGTGTTTATTGGTCGCTAGGACAAAGCATTATCGCTCATGCTGACATTGGTATTGATAAAAACACAAGTGATGACAAACTTCAGAACAGCAGCCTGAAGGTTAGCTTAGTAGACCAGAAATCAGAACATATTCTGCATGTTGGTTCCAGAAATACTAAATCGACTGAGTTTTGTTTTGAACTTTAAAAGAAAATCAGGCTCTAAATCATGTTTGGCGATTTATGGTCATATTTGGTCTTTGCCTTAATTCAGATTTGAGTTCTGGGAAGATTTTGAGGAAGAGCACGGTAAAGGCAGGGACAACGGCTACCAGAGTCTTCATAAAGTGCTGGAGCCCTTCCTGCTGCGCCGTGTCAAGAAGGACGTGGAGAAATCCCTGCCTGCCAAAGTGGAGCAGATCCTCCGAGTGGACATGTCCGCCCAGCAGAAACAGTTCTACAAGTAGGTCCTGCTCTGTGTCTGATGTCTAGCTTGCATTAAATTTTCTGTTTGGTTCCTCAAATGTGATTGGTCACACTTACCCTATGTGTGTTTGTCATTTAAGGTGGATTCTCACAAGGAATTATAAAGCCCTCTCAAAAGGCACCAGAGGAAGTTCTTCAGGCTTCCTTAACATTGTCATGGAGTTGAAGAAGTGCTGTAACCATGCCTTCCTTATCAAGCAGCCAGAGGAGGGAGAAAACGAAAGTTCTCAGGAGCGCTTACAGGTGGGACGGCCTTACAATAAAAGCATGAATTTTCTAAGTTAACTCTCAACAGGTTCTAACTGAGCATGTTTTGTGGAACAGACCACGGTGCGAGGCAGTGGGAAGCTGGTCCTCCTGGATAAACTCCTGACCCGGCTGAGGGAACGGGGCAACCGCGTGCTCATCTTTTCTCAGATGGTCCGTATGCTGGACATCCTGGCTGACTACTTGGCCATGAAACACTATCAATTCCAGGTAGGGTCAAAAGTGACACAGACAGTGAAGAATGCTTGCATTGGGTTGGAATGAGACTTCCCTGAGATCTTTTGTTTTTGAGTGCAGCATTGCTTGTTTGTTCCTGTTTGTTTAACCATTTATATTTAAGCTTTATGCACGCTAGTTTTGTTTGTTATGACTGTGGTAGAAGTTTAGCATGTTGGTGGGACTGTTTGGAGCTGGGCTCCGGTTGACTCGGGTGTCAGAGCTGCAGTGGTATCTTGGCACTGACTGCTAGTGTCCTGCCGCTATTTTTATCTTCCAGTTATTTTTTGATGCGTACTGGCTTCAACAACACGCCTCTCAGTGCTGCATTAGCAAGAATTACCAGCTCCTGTCTAAACTGTATCTATGCATATGAGGATTCAAACAGCATGTATGATGCCTGTACTCAAGACAAGATCTTTCAGTCACTGTTTTTTCTTGTCTTACCTTAGCGCTTGGACGGTTCTATCAAAGGAGAGCTCCGGAAACAAGCACTCGACCACTTTAACGCTGAGGGTTCTGAGGTATGTAACAAAAATGTGATAGCCTTGTGGTCTGTTTGCAGATATGGATATCCTAAAATGCACTGCTTATGGCAGCATCCGTCTGCATCAAATAGTAAACCATGGGTAGCGTTTCTCCAGAATATCCTGTCTTTTTTTCAGTCTTTATGCTTCTTAATAGTATGTTCATGAATCATCTGACTGTATCCATCCTGTTTCTCTTTTTCCTTTAACTTTTTCCAATGAATTGGTTCTTCTCATAAAAAAGCCGGACAGGAAAAATATGCCTTTAAACTTTGGTGTTGAGAGTCTTATTTTGGATACCTTTATATTCCCCTACGTAAACTGATATGCTTATCTCTACATTTGACCATGTGTAGCTTGGCTTTTGTATGTGCCCTAGCCCTGAGATGATCTGTTCATCCTCAGTCCTTCTCTTCTTCCACATCCAGGACTTCTGTTTCCTCTTGTCCACTCGTGCTGGAGGCCTGGGCATCAATCTAGCCTCAGCTGATACTGTTGTCATCTTTGACTCAGACTGGAACCCACAGAACGACCTGCAGGCACAGGCCAGAGCCCACAGAATAGGCCAGAAGAAACAAGTAAGTGATGGCATGAGCTTTGTTGCTCATTGATACGTCGTTTGAGGAGAAAAATATTGCATATATTTGCTTTCGATAAGCAGAGTGAGTGATATATTTATTATTTTACTGTTAGGTCAATATTTATCGTCTGGTCACCAAAGGGACTGTAGAGGAGGATATTATTGAAAGGGCAAAGAAGAAGATGGTTCTAGACCATCTTGTCATTCAGAGAATGGACACCACTGGACGAACGGTTCTGGATAATAGTTCAGGAAATTCAAAGTGAGTATTCCTTAAGAGCTCTCTAAAGAGAAAGGATTAAAATGATGAATATTGTCATTCAGATCATTAATATTATCCTAATGGAAATGACATTCATTGTCTTGTCGTGAACTGTATTTGAACTATTGTTTCCAGTTCAAACCCTTTTAACAAGGAGGAGCTGACGGCTATCTTGAAGTTTGGAGCAGAAGATCTGTTTAAAGAGCCTGAAGGGGAAGAGTCAGAGCCACAGGTATCACTTTTCCACTTGAAGGAACACAGCTCACAGTTTCTTTATTAGCAATTTTGAGTGAATGAAGTTTTCCTGTCTGTGGTTGGTCTCTTAATAATATATTGTGCATTTTTCTGTTTTCATTTGTAGGAGATGGACATTGATGAGATTTTGCGGCTGGCTGAGACCAGAGAGAGTGATCAAGGTTCCAGTGCAACAGATGAGCTCCTGTCCCAGTTTAAGGTAGTTTACCAGCATTTACCAATTTTAAAATCTTAGAATCTTTGTGTATTTTTTCCCCCTTTAATAACCTAATAATAACCTTCTAATAACGTTGCCTAGCTCAGATGATGTCAGGGTGGACCAGATTTGGAAGGGAGACCACCATGTTTACCCCCACAGCAATGTTGCTATTAAAGTTTTTAATAAATGTTTTCTTTTTCAAAAGCAATACCTGACTATTATTTTTGGTACTGAGGCACATTTGTTTATTGTAAAAACTATGTAGATGCGGTAAACATGTTTGTATTATTATTATTATTATTATTATTATTATTGTTATTATTATTCATTTCTTAATTTTGGCCACATGATTCATTGGCTTTGTGCCCCTAGTGGCCGGTGCAGTTTGTCTCTACCCCTGCCCTAAAATGCAGATGAGGATTTGTTTCGGTCACAAATTTAGTTTGTTCCTTCAACTGAGGCATTGTTTCTTTGCGTTCTTACAGGTGGCCAACTTCACCATGGATGAGAGCACTCCAGAGCTCGAGGAGAAACCCATGAGGGACTGGGATGAGATCATTCCTGAAGACCAGCGGCGACGGGTGGAGGAAGAGGAGAAGAAAAAGGAGATGGAGGACATCTACATGCTGCCCAGGAGCAGGAGCTCCAATAAAAGAGTAAGGAATACCTTGTAGAAACCTCCAACCTACAGGGATAATATATATGAACACTGTCAATTGAGTGCTGATCTACGAAACAGTCCCTGTCATTTAGGACTAACTAAAAAAGATTTAGAGAAGGACTCCTGTTTTGTTAGGCTTTCTGAAGACCGCAGTATTTGTGTATTTCAATACCTTTGTTATACAAGCCCCTTATCAGTAGACTAGAGGCTCCACTCTGTGTAACAAACTGCATGAATTAATGCTGCCAAGTACAGTGGCATAGCACCTTAATTTGCATAACATGATTATTTTTATCCTCATTATCATATATTGTCTAAGCACATACAAACACATTTTAACACATATATTATTGTCTACCTATGCATTTGAGTTGGTTGGAGGCTCCCATATAAACACAGTGGCTTTAATACAAATATTATGGATGTGTTTATTTAGCAAAAGGTAACATGAAGTGCACCCTTAGGCTTTTTTCTTGCTTACATTTGTGTCTGCTTGTGTTAGTGCTGATATCTTAGGCAGACGGTAATGACTCATTAGAGTTTATAGCTCTGTGCTGGATCAGCTTGTGTGTGTATGTGTGTGTGTGTGGGGTCTGTGGCGTTGTAGGCCTTAGTAATGACTTGTTAAGTTTTATGGCACAGTGGGTTCCCTAGCGAAATCGGCTGCATGTATGCGCTAAACCGCACTCTCATTACTCTTCCTTTGAGCTGGAGATGATTTAATATTGGAGCATTAAAGAGGAACCACTGGGAGTGTTCCTCGAGACGTTCTCCGGTGCTGTGCCTTTTAAAAGAGGTTTCTTTTTGGGGAGAAATTAAAAGCACACAGAACAGTTTTTTTTAGTTTTGAGATTCTCCAAATATTAGAAAACTCTAACGCACTAATACCATGCTTCTGGACACTAAACCCAGACTGTTTTAGCCATAAGTCTTTGGACAGCAAAAACCATTGTTCTGGCTCTGTGTGCCGGTACTTTGACTACTAGATTGCATCTCGATTGCATCTAGTGCCCTAAAGGGGGTTTGTGCAAAACTAGCAAAACAGTTACTAAATTAGTCATCTTCTATGAGCTAAGAAGTATTTTTAATAGGCTTTCACCTCAGACTGTGTGTAAGAGCTTGTGTTGTGCTTTTGCAGGCGCAGGCTAATGACAGTGACAGCGACGTTGGCTCAAAGCTCAAACTCAAGAACCGTTCCTCGGGCTCGGAGAGTGAAACAGACGACAGTGATGATGACAAGAAGCCAAAGCGGAGAGGCCGACCGCGTGCACGCAAGAACAACGTGGAGGGCTTCACTGACGCAGAGATCCGCAGGTATCACACTAAGCCATATGTGAATGCAGCGGTCACCTTTTAGTGGGGCTGAAATTTGATTGATAAATGTGCTAAATGCTCTTTTTAACAGGTTCATAAAGGCTTATAAGAAGTTTGGAGCCCCACTTGAGAGGTATGGATTTAAACACATACAAGATCACGATTAAAGACTTTCTATGTAATACGAGTTTAGAAAGATACTTACTAAAAAACTGAGCAAAATAAGAAATACCGAAGCTTCTTAAATTAGCCAAAGAGCTAAAGACATTATTAGTGCTTACATTTGATGCTCACTTGTAAATTCCAATAGCCATGCTGATTGGTTGTACATTATCTCCAGGCTGGAGGCCATTGCACGAGACTCTGAGTTGGTGGACAAGTCCATAGCAGACCTAAAGAGACTGGGAGAGCTGGTTCACACCACATGTGTGACTGCAATACAGGAGCATGAAGAACAAATGAAGGAGAACCCCACAGAAGGTGAGAGAGAGATTTTATTTTTTACTTATTTCAACTTCATTTAACCAGGCAAGCCATTGTTAAGAACAAATTCTTAATTACAGTGTCAAAACAGTCTGTCAAGTGCCAAAAGACAAGCAAGAGATATTTGGTAAAAATAATGACACCATTGTTCTCTTATGGCGCTGTGTGCCCACTCTGTAGCCAAAGGTCCAGGGAAAAGACGCGGCATCAACATCAAGATCTCAGGGGTTCAGGTCAATGCCAAGTCCATCATTCAGCACGAGGAAGAGTTTGAGCCTCTTCACAAAGCTGTGCCCTCCAACCCCGCCGAGAGGAACAAGTATGTTCTTAACCCAAACTTCTAATCGATTACCATTTTAAACTTCCACTAGGCTTCTTAAATCAGCCTTGATGATTATTATTGCGGTGAAAGACCCAACATCTAAGCTTAACTCTTCAAGGCTAACACAAATCTTTGACAATGTGATATCTCAATGTCATCTGCATTTTTTTGAGATTTAAAAGTAACTAATCTAACACAATCGTAGGTTTTTTATTATTTTTTTTTTTTTGAAAAACCAAACACATGAATAGGAATGAAAGTCATGCACAGTCATTCTTAATTGTTATTGTAGTTAAACAAATCAGTATTAAGTGCTAATCAATCTGGACTGTGCTCTGAATGAGCTAACAAGGAAAAAAATCACAGCGAATCCAAAAATAAAAGCACCGTTGTACATCTTATGTACAGTGACAAGTGCGACAAGACAAGTAGGGGTGGGGAAAAATTAGATTCTTACATGCATCGCAATCTTGAATTGACATGAAGATGCAAAGTAAAAAAAAAAAAAGATTACATATTATAAAAAAGATGCATCCAGAATAATTTGATAATTGCATCTTGGCACCCAAGAAAGCTCTGCAGCACAAAGAAAGCTCTGATTCTCCATGCCTATACATGTTACTGGCATTAAAACGAGTTAAAGGGGTCACAACCAAGTCTCTGAATGGATCGTTCCAGAGGTGTTCAGTTTGATAGGGTTCATTTGTCACATGTAGTACGCTGTGGCTCTTAGAGCAAGCAAAGTAACTTAATCTAGTCTCTATACTCAGTACAAATGTGTTACCAAATACTGCAGATGGACACCAACTAACTGCCCAACTCTCTCTCTAGGTTTCAGCTGACCTGTCGTGTGAAAATTCCTCATTTTGATGTGGACTGGGACATCCACGACGATACACAGCTGTTGCTAGGCATCTATGAGCATGGCTATGGCAACTGGGACCTGATCAAGACTGATCCTGACCTGAAGCTTTCAGAAAAGGTGTGTTTTCGTTGGGATCTTCTAAATTTGGTTCAGTTGTATGTCTGAGCTAACACTGCCCGTTAATGTATGCAGATCCTTCCAGATGACCCTGACAAGAAACCACAAGCAAAACAGTTACAGATGAGAGCAGACTACTTGTTGAAGATGCTGAAGAAGGACCTGGAGAACAAAGATGCATCCAAAGCAGGAGAGGAGGTAAGTAGAGAGTCATTGGCCGTTAAGACCAGTGTGAGCGTGACAAGTTGTTGTCTTATAGTCAGTTGATGATAAAGCATGGCACTTAATCATATAGCCTGAAAATTGTCCCAGCACTGTTACAGCCTTCTTCTTGGAAGGGCAATGAGAATAAATAGAATAAAAAGTATTGTTACCATAATCTTAATAGTATGAAGCTCACTAGACTATCCAGTCATTAGTACAATTAGTGTTTTAGGTTTACTGTAGTAGTTTTGTCTTTCCTTTCAGTTTGAAATGTTCACCGTTTTAATGGTTCATAGTGTGAACAGTCCTTAGTTTAGTTTGTGGCATTGGCTCAGCGGTGGCATGCTTTCTTCCAGACCAAGGTAAAGAAGAGGAAACCACGAGTAAAGAAGGAGAACAAGGCCCCAAAAGATGAGCTAGCCAATGAAATCTCTTCTCCCCGTCTGTCTGACATCCCATCTGAGGAAGGCGAAGTGAAGGTATGTTCCCTTACGCAGACAGCGTATCAAATCCCTATCAAAACAGAAACATAAACTAAAACAATGTGGTTGTTTTCAGAGCAATTTACGCTAAACTTGATGTAAAACTTGCATCAACACTGTTGACCAGTCAGTTCACATTTTTGTGGGAACGTTTCCCTTTGTTTGTATGTTTCTTCTAGGATGACGGAGCTGAGAAATCCCCCACAAAGAAAAAACAGAAGAAGAAGGACAACAAAGAGAACAAAGAGAAGCAGGGAGCTCAGAAGAAAGAGAAGGAGGGCGACAAGGACAAAAAGCGCTCCAAGCTCAAGAAAGATAAGGTAGTTTAGTCCTGTAGGTATAAGGTGCCTATATTAGAACATTCCCTGAAGTTTCATTGGCTTACTGTTTGTTGCGATTAGTTGCGAATCCGTAGACTGAACAAAACAAATGAACAGTGGAATGTGGACCTTGCAGGAATGTGTGTGTGCGTAGTGCTCTCTTTGACATTTATTTGGGAATTTTTCAGGCCAAACCAGCAGGCAAAGGCAAGAAGGCTCAGGGCCCGGTGCACATTACAGCAGGCAGTGAGCCTGTCCCTATTGGAGAGGAAGATGATGAACTGGACCAGGAAACCTTCAGCATTGTGAGTTTCTTGTGGTCTTCATTCCCTGTCTCATATTTTACTGGCAAGCTTTTTGATGTTTCTAATTCTAGTCAAATCACACTCCATTTTCTGTGACAAAAGAAAGTGAAAACGTAAACTCCTGCGGTCTTCTTTAAAGATGTATGAGATTTGTGTGAGAAATGTGGAGAAAGGCATTTATGGGTAATTGTAGTTCATAGAGGTGCCAGTCTGCGTACCTCACATCTTAAGTACAGACGTGAATCTGCAGTGTTATAAATCAAGCACATGCTGATTGGATGAACAGGGAAGAATATTGTGGGGTTAGAATGAGACCCAAAACGGAATTAGATAAAATGTCTCACAATTAAGTCTTCTTTATTTATTAAAAGTATGTATTAAAAGTATTTTTTGTTTACCTTCTTTATTTATTATTATTATTATTATTAATATTATTATTATTATTATTATTACTAAGTGTTGTCATGTTGGTTCCACCCCCTGGTGACAGTATGAATAGTGTTTCTCCAGAATGTCCTGTCTTCTGTTTTACTCCTCTTTCTGCTACAGTGTAGCGTGAAACTTTTCCTATGGTTAAAAATTGTTTGCCACTTCTACATTTCATCCTCATTTTCTGTGCATTTTGGTCTGGTAAGGGCAGCACTGCCCCCCTAGTAGGGATGCACTGATATGAAAATTCTGGGCAGATGCCAATATCCAGTACTTGTTATGTGCATGATGATGGATATGCCGATACATAGAGATAAATTAAATGTAGAAATTGGGACATGAATTACGATTATAGAACAATATAACAATTCTTTCTGTAACAAATGCAGTGAGATGGAAAAATGCAGACATTTTGGTGCTGTCGCCCAACTTCTCCTAAACTTTCTGCTCTTCCTGAATACAACAAATACATCATCAAATATTGGTGTGCAATATTGGTAGAATCTAAACGTCTGTCTGAAACCAGTATATCAACACTGTCAAGCAAAACCTTTTTTTATTGCTCTACTTTATTGCATAATTTAAAACTAGTTATTTGCGTTAGTGTTAACATTTCATGATAAATGGATCAATAGAAATGGTTCAAAATTACTTGGAAAAAAATCTTGCTACATGAACTTCCATTATAAGTTCTTTTTTTTTTCTTCTCCTGTAAAGTTACAGTTTTAGAGATACAATGTTTTGTTAACAAGGATAGATTTTTTAAAAGCAAATATCTGCTGACACCAATATAATTCTGCTATCATTGTGAGTCCCTAATGCGTAGTACATGCTAACATTATTTGCAAGTATTGCAGACAGTATGTTAATATCTGTACACAATGCCTGCATGTTTGTAGTCTTAATTTACCCCTTTTTTGTGATTTGAAAAAGGTTTACAAATGGTGGTCTGAAGTTTGGGTGCACCATATAACATATTTTGACTCTGCTGCTACATACTGAAACACATTAGTGAAACCGAAATGTGACTTAAGATCAGCATGCACTGTTTTTAGTAAGAAAGGAACCTTTGTTTTATCACACAAATGGCTTGATTGATCAAAACACCGTTCAAACATCAGAAATATCAGATATTCAGAACTTAGAGATATTCAGGGCACAAAATTAAAATCATTGTTCTCTGTTTGAGGGCTAATTTTCATACTGCGGCCAGTAGTATCTTTATTGCAAAGGCCAGTATGGCGATAATGATTGACAAACAAAACATTGTACAGCCCTAGTTTGAAGCCTCATACATAACTTCAATGTCTGCATGCCTGTTTTTGTGTGCATTCAGTGTAAAGAGAGGATGAGGCCGGTGAAGAAGGCTCTGAAGCAGCTGGATAAGCCAGATGAAGGCCTGTCAGTGCAGGAGCAGCTGCAGCACACTAGAGCCTGCCTGCTGAAGATTGGAGACCGCATCACTGAGTGCCTTAAAGCCTACAGCGACCCGGAGCATGTCAAGACTTGGCGCAGGTCTCGCATACAAACATGCACTGAGTTTCCAGGGCTCTGAAAGTTTTGTGGTGTTATGATTATTCAGAACTGTAGAGAGAGGGTGTCGAAGTCAAACTAACCATCTTTGTGCTATAAATATATCCATATCTTATTTCTGATAGGATTTTATTCCACTATGCTCTTGTAGCTCAGTTTCTTCTGTTAAAATACTCTATCCTTTAATTTTTTTCTTTTTCCATATAGAAATCTCTGGATCTTTGTGTCCAAGTTCACTGAGTTTGGAGCCAGGAAACTGCACAAGCTGTATAAAATGGCTCAGAAGAAACGATCCCAGGAGGAAGAGGTAAACTTATCTTTAGCCCAGGTGAAGACAAGACGTTTTTCTTTCGAATCTCGTCCTGTCCTGCTCATGCGCTCCATGCACATTGCTTTCAGAAAGAGCAAAAGAAGAAAGATGACCCCACCAGGAAGAAGCCTTTCCGGCCTGAACCGTCTGGATCGAGTCGTGACTCCACCGGGACTCAGCCTCCAACTAAGCCCCATCCACCTCAGAACCACCCCACCGGACCGCCCTCTCACTCCCACCACCGTGAGCCCTACAACCAGTCCAATAAGAGACACTTCCCTAACGATGGTGAGAGAAAGAACTTATATTAATACAAGTATACTGAAGTAGTGTAAGCATGGCTACAGTTTGGTCTGCAGAAAGAATGCTTTTAAATCAGTGGTCTTGCTGGTGTACCCCTGTCCTGCATATTTTGGTGTAGCGGTGGGAACCACTATTAAATCATACTAACATAGAAAAGTAAGGGGAAAACAAATAGAAACACCTGACTCTGGCAATCTACATAGGCAGCTGTCTAAGTAGGCAGCGTTCCAACCGTCATCTGTCCTTATAAGATAAATAAATGAGACGCTCTAGTTAGACAGCAGTGATGTCGCTGCTTGTTCCCGCCCACTGCACGAGACCGGCGTTTACTTACCTCAGCCGTCAGAATCACATTTAGCCAACATGGATCTGCTCTGGCAGTTTATATAGTGATTTTACTTGTATTTGCTCTGAATGAAACAGCAAAATAGACAATAGTTGTGGTCAAACGCGGAAAGTATAGGCTATTTGAGCACTTTTATCACTAGAAAACAGATAAATAAACAGAAAATCAGAATAACTTACATTTGAAGATGACGGCGCTGCTCGGCGAAGCGCTTCTGCCCGCCATCTTCAAACAAAAGTTGCGCTGCGCTGCATCGCGGGATTGCCTCAGCAGCTGAGTAAACATCCGATGCTCTCTTGATATTCGGCCAAAATGAGATACCTCAGTAGGCAGCATATCAGAGATATCTAAGAATTGGGACACCCTTATTGTCAGGAGCGCGCATATTGTGACGTATAATGTAGAGAGCTCACCAGGTTTTGAGACACACCCACTGTGTCTGCTTTTATGAAGCATCAAAAACTATGAGACTGAAATGGTTTTCTTGGTCCTCAAGACGTTTGAGTAAGGCAGCATTTCTGTTAGTGGCGGTGTTAGTGGTGGCATTGTTACGGTACATAACAGTTTTGTGTCTTGATCTACAGATCGGGGAGAATGGCAGAGGGATCGTAAATACAACTACCCTGGTAACAGCAACCAGTCCTGGCAAGGTGACCGCCATCACCCTTACGACCCTCACAGGTACAAGGACCATCACTATGGTGACCGACGGCCACATGGGGACTCGTACCGCAACCCTGGAGGCTACCGGAATAGTGGCTCTCCCCGCAAACGCCCCTACGACCAGTATGGCAATGACCGTGACCATCGGGGTCATCGTGACTATTATGATAGGTAATGAAATAAAAATGAATGCTAAATCATGCGATATTTGACTTGGTTTACAGTGTCATTACATATGAAGGTTTAACAATTCAGTCTTTTGCTTTAGTATTAATAATTAAACATCTAATGAAAAGGCGTATCTAAGAAAGTCCTTATGTGTCAGTGAATTTAATATTTAACAGTAACCTGTAGGAGTTGAGGTGGTTCTCTTTACTGAAAGAGGGGATATTGCCACAACAGTACATTTAGATGTTTTGAGCAGATGTGCTTGTGAAGCAAATCATACAGAAAGGTCTTCTGTTATTGACAAAACATTTTTTTGCATATACTTTATTAAATATAGGTAAACAGGAACTGAGGCTGGTGTTTCCCCTTTAATGAACTAAATATTTTGTATAGGTTATTGTAACTTCTTTTAATTTTCTCTTCAGACATCCGGACCCCAAGAGGAGGCGATCGGACGAGTACCGCTCACCGAACTACCACCAGGGCGGTGGAGGAGGAGGTGGAGGAGGGGGAGGATATTCTCAGGACTTCAGGAGGATGCCTGATCACAGGGGCGTCCCTGGGAACCACCCAATGGGGCCTGACCACTACCGGCCATTTCACCCAGACAAGCCCCCTCCTGTTATAGACCCTCGCTCCCCTCAAGCACAGAAATCCCCACTCGAGTCCCTCTCGCCCCTCGAGAGGACCACGGAGCAGAAACCCGGGACAGATCTCAACTGGAACAACAGGAAGACGTGATTCAGGTGAGCGCTCCAAGCAGGGACGGTCCACGCTGCTCAGTGGACACTGCAGGGAGGACACCTTTCTTCTGGCCCTTATGGGCAAAACTGGGCTGTATTTACCAGCCACCAACAAATCCCCTCCTACTGCTAGAAAATGAAGATCCAATGTAGAGCTCTGCCAGTGTGTCCTGAGCTCAATCCTGGATGTAAAGGACAGGTGCGGTCAGGAAGCTTGAACCGAGGAAAATGAACGGCAAAAGCTCAGTTAGTCCTATGGACTATTATGTGAATTAACTTACTAAAGCCTTTGAAGTATGACCGAGTTTGAAGCGTGAAAGTGCCTCACGTATTTGGCCTTTTGGAAAGTCATTAGTAGAAAAGGAGTATTCCCAAAGCAAACGTTACTTTGATGTTTATTTCATTTTCTTTTTTTGTTGGTTTGTTTTGTGCAGAATAAAGGATTATTCCATGAACGTAGCCTTTATGGGGGGGGGGACTAAATCACCGCACCTTTAGATTTTAATTCATCTTTCATTTTTTTGAGATGTTTTGATCATGTCTTGGGTTAATCTTGGATTAATTTGCACCTGCCCTTGTATCAAGCTGATAGGAAAAATGGTTGTTAGAAGTTGTAACTACATGTACATGTATGCCTGTTTTGGAACTTACGAAATCTTTCATTAGTACGAAAGTACGACATTCGCAGCAATGGACAGCACAGTTGACTGAATTAGCCTACTGCTAGGCTATGTAATCCAGTCTGTGAAATTAAGGCTGGACACAAATTCCAGGTCAGTACAGACCTTGTGGTCAGAACACTAGCTAACTAAAGCCCAAAAGCTATATTTTTCTATAGTTTTAAGCTGAAATTTCCATCATAATGTCTCCGTCATTTCAGTGAGTGTAGGCTAATGATGGCTAATGGCGGATTTTTGTATTGCACTACAAGTATTGGACTCTACGCATCTCCAGCCGCTCACAGAATAAAACAATGGACAATATTCCTTATTAATATTTTTTCCTTAGTATGAGTGTGCTGAAATGTTGGATATGTTTGACCTTTAAATGGAAATGCTGGCGCTGAGAGTGCTGGAACAGAAGGGAGCGGGAACGTCAAGCTATTTTTGGTTCACCAGTTCCAATGCCAAAAAGACAGAGACTGGAGTGCTGGTGCATAATATTGTTCGGGTTCTCTTTTCTTTTCTTTTCTTTTTTGTTTGTTTCCCTCCATCTGTGCCTTATTCTTGTGTCTAAGGAATCTCCGGTGGCATTTTTCGTGGTCTTTAAAGACGGAGACTGTGCAGTATTAGGCTGTGGTGTTGTGATGGACGTTGAGGTGAAGAGTTGCCGATGAGCGGGGAACAATATGGCGGGCCGTGCTGGGAGGGAGGACCGTTGTTCCTCTTCTTCAGAGGAACTGAGTTGTGTTAGGAGGAGTCACAGCCTCTCCCTCATTCTGCGGCTCTAGCCTGCACTTCACGGACCTGTGTTCATTCTTCGAGACAAGCCAATTAAAGTAATTTATATTTGTGAAAAAAGAAGCCACTGTTCAGATGAACTATGCTGTACATACTGTTTATAGACCTATATGTATTAAACTTTCCTACATCATGCAGTTCCTGTCAGTGCTGTTTTATGTCAATGTGGAGTCTAACACAGCCACGCAGTAGTGAAAACATTTGAAACCGAATTTTCAATGTTTCTAATGTATTGAATTGTAAACATTCAAAATGGTTTGATGTAAAAATGTTGTTTTGTGGAGAAACTTACGAACTCGGATTTATTTACAATGCTAGTGAACCAGTGGTTGCGATGTCTACAACGTAAATATAGCCAATTTATTTACCATTCAGAACGACTAGTGAAGCTAAACGTGTCTTCTGATTTGTATTTGTAATATTGATGGTGGTAAAATAGTGGAAATTTTGAGTTTTTCTTTGGGTACTACTTTGCCTCATAACAATCTGCATTGGTACCTCTCTGCCGTGAAGGAGTTTTGAAAATATTTTTAGGCCAAAACTTTCTCAAAGCAACATCTTGGGCATCAGGCCACAAAGCTGTTAATGTAATAACTCTAACTTCGGGCATTTCTATCACAGCCACTGTGGACAATTCTGAAAATGCAGGACTTTCACATCAAACCACCCTGAATATTATTACTTTACTATTATTTATGGAGGAGAAAAAAGAACAGGGCAATTCCCATTTAAAGTTAGAGTAATTAGCGTCAAGCTAGAAATAATGTAGTGTGGCGGTAAAACCAGCAGGAGGCAGCCTTAGACAAACTCAGATGAGAGAGAACACTACTTACATATGGCAAACGACCATTAAACCACATTAAAACAGTTCAGGAAGCACATATCCAAAACAATTCAACAAGACGTTTTTATTTTTTTGTTCAATAAATAATTTACATTATATACAGGTGGTGTGTGGCACCATTTTGAATCCTACATACAAAACCAGTTTGATCTGTCTGGCTTCTCCTGTTAAACATCAATATGTTTCAATGTTTCATTCACTCATTTTGTCCTCTAACATTACAAGTGTGATAATCTTCTATTCACAATCAAGTTCAACCAAGTAAGAGCTAGAAGAGCATAAAAAACATAAAGTGCTTTTGTAATGAACACAAACACCACACAACTGCTTATTTCATGTCATACTGAATTACCATATGCATTTAGGTTTAGCACAATCAGGTTTTAGAGAACTGCTACTAATGTTTGTGGTGTTTGAGGTATTCATGTACACAATATCCCTTTATTAAAAGGTAACATTCGTTGATTCCACTCACAACCAAAAAGAGAAGTAAGATCTTGAAAATTCAACACAAACACTTTGCCAAATGAACACCTCACAAACTTATGTACAACTCACATTACACAGTTAGAGCTATAGAGAACTGACAACACTAAGCACACAAACACAAGATTTGAAAAGAGTCTTTTTTTTTTTCCTCTTGCTGTTTTGTTTGAGAATTTCTTTTAAAGTTGTGAACAAACTGCACCAGCACAGGCTTCCAAAGCAGTAGTTAAGGCCTGTAGAGCTTTACAGTGTAGAAATAAATTACTAGGAAGAAACTATGTCTCAAACAATTCCATCTGTTTAAATACACTTAATTTTTTTCCACTTTGAACTCAAAAACCTTATGGAACACTGTTAAGGAACACATTCAACAGTTGTTAGCTGTGTCATGGGATATATTATAAAGATGGTGGACATGTCTGGACTTCAGAGGTCAGAAAGAAAAAAGCTTTTGCAAACAGAGCCTTTGAATTCCTGGTATCTTAAGAATTACTCACTACGATAATTCTACCAAGCGCAAGACTTGTGGTTCAGAATGTTATAAATAACCATAATACAGCAGGCCTCCCGGTGCTATTACTTACTCTACTGTCCACATCTCTGCCAGATAAAAAAAAAAAACCTTTGTCTATTGAGAAATGGCACAAAAAACTGGGACCCACCAAAACAACAACAACAAAAAAAAACAAACAGTGTCTGTGTGCATTTGTGCATGCTTCTTTTGTTCGTCTATAAAAAGCCTAGCGGCAGGTGAAAGGATACTCCTCTCTTAAACCCTTAACCATCTCAAGAAATGCATGGCATACGTCTCGGTGCCTCTCTGCACAGGAAAAGTCCGTCCACCCCATTCTACTTTAGCAGCACCTTCCAGTATTATACACAACCAGGCCGTCTGGTTTGAATCCAAATATTTGAGCGAACCACAAACGTCCCAAGAGGGAGGCAGGGGAGAATTCAGCTGTTCGGGGAAATCACTGGCACTGGGGCTCGTTCTTTGGCAAAAGGCCGCCACCATAAATTCACAGATCTACTGAGAGTTTGCGAGTCAAATGGGCCCTACAGCACAGCCACGTCGACACCCCTTTTGAAATGGAGAGCGAGGCTTTATTCTTTAAGAAGCAGTCAAGATGACTGATGGATCAGCCTGTGGGGGGGTTGCGGGTCCCATCTCTTTCGCCAAAAGTCAGCCTCTTGGCTCAGCATCTCCACCTCTGCTACGTGTTCATGGCTGCTGAGTTGCCAACTGACTGGATTTTATTTTTCCCTCCAAAGTACATGTGCTCAACACAAGTCCGTCTAGTCCTGCGCCAGTCGTATGGCTTGGACTACGAGCTTTCCCATCTAAACAATGGCATTTACTCAGTAAACACATTCGTTGAGATACTTGTTCGCTATGTGCCCTCAAATTAATTCTGGGCTGCATTCATAGGCGAAATCAAACAGAGTCCAAATGAACTTAGACAGCCAATGTAACACCAGAAAATGTTAGAAATATTCTCAGGATTGTAATGCCTAAGCAATGTGGGTGTGTTTAAAATCTGTTGGACTATGACTGACACAGAAACAGTGAAATGGGAATTTTTTTCCAACCTGCCTGCCAATTCATGCAGGAGACAGCTCTTGGCAGGCAGAAAGATCGGCTTTCTGACCCATGGACCACCAAATTAGGACCCTGGGTGCAATATAAAGACATTCGGAAATATTTCTGTCCTACAGCTCGCAAAAACACACACAAACACACAGAACATTTCACCACCACACTCGCATGATACACACACACTTTACAAGAAAGACCTGCCGTTATGGCTCATTAATCCCGACATAGTCAACGCGACTCACTGATATGACACGGCTTTGGCTGGGGGTGTCTTCCAGAAAAAGCTTGCACTTTTTCCAAAGCTGGAACCTCATCAAAGACAAGAAGCTCCTGCAGATCTTCCTTCTTCAACAGAGGTTAATAAAAGCTCCTGTCATGTCTCATAGTCCTGTTCCAGAAGACACATACTAGGCCTCCCTTCTTGGCACTGGACAGCTGGAGAACAACTTCAACGCCCAATCTTCTTTCTGCAAGGGGATCATCCCCCCTCCACCCCCAGCAGCATCTTGCTTCGGTGGGAACAAGAGGTGGGTAGGGAGGGGGAGCTGGCGGATTTTAATCCCACTCTGAGCCTCCAGAAGCCCAGGAGTCTCTCACCACTGCCTCCCTAAGTCATGGAGCAGTCCTGAAACCTGCAGGATGAACTCTGTGACGGATCCAGAACTGCTCCTGCTCTGGCTCAACGGATGTCCATTCAATGACAACACACAGATGAGTCCATGGCTAGGGTGGGTGTGATGACACACAAGACTGAAAGCCCTCAGGTTCAGCCTCTGGACGCGACAATGGAGAAAGCCGTGTTTCCACAAACACAAAGCTTTCCAACAACCATCACGAGACAACAAAAAGACACCCACACGGAAAACTACAGACACAAGTAGCACAACTCAGTCCACAAAGATATGGCGACAAGGTTAAAGAGAATCAACAAGCCAAAGTTAGATCCCCTGGGG